TTGCAGTTTCTGGGGTGATGGATGGAGCTCATTGGTATTCAGGGTCTCAGCCTCTGTCACAGACTCTGTGGATAGTTTTTTTTAATTCATTGAAATAGCATAAAAGTGGAAAAGTGCACGTGAATGAGCAGATTTTCCCCCCTTTCTCCAAAGTGGGTATTAGCGAGCCTGTCGTGTTTGAGGAGATGAATCAACCTTGACAGTGCCAAGGCTTCTGCTCTCCAGAGTTTAAAAAAAAAGATCTTTTGGAAGTTTCTGTGCTGTCAGAATCACATTTTCTGTACTCTGACTAATCAATGGATGGGTTGATTTGTTTCAAGAAAGACCTCATTACCCCTAAATCCTCCTCTGGCAGCAGATGTGATCAAATATTTATGTGATGGGAGGATACTTAGTTTTCTTTAGAGATCGCTCAATATAATACCTGTCTTTTCGTTAAAGAGTAAACTTTTGGAAAGTTTTTCTCCTACAACTTTGTATCAGAGAGCAAATAAAAAATTTCAGTGTTGCAAAGTTCAAGTGGATTTCCTGTTTTTGACTCGACTCGTAACACAGTTTTAAGTCTCTATTGTCATTCCCAGTTTTTTCCTTTTCGGAAATAGTTTTATTTGGTTTTGTTATGTGCAGTGTGGATTTAAAGTCTTATTTGAATGATCTTTTCTTGGTAGATTCTGTACATTTAATTGATAACAAAGTGGTTTATCTTAACCCTCTCAGGCTCAAATTACTTGAAAAGACTGTTTAAGTTTTTGCAAATCTGCAACCCCTGCCTGGAGAGGGTTAACAACTAATAGTAAAGAAAAAAGTCATTTTTTTGGAGCTCTGCCTGTTTACCGTTCAGTATTCCTGGATTCACTCATTTATAAAATCTGCTAAAAATTATTAATTTGGCTTTTCTCTGACTTTTTTCAAATAAATACAAAACAATTTGCAACTTGGGAAGCTGAAATATCAATCTGGGAGGCTGCTTGACATGCAGGCGTTTTTAAAGCAACCGATCCATGATCATCATTCATTTCTTTGGTAATGGACTGTAGATGTTAGCTTCAATTGTAGCGCTAAGATGATTTCAGGTGTGTATTGATGCATATTAAAGTAGCTTTGGTTTTTTTAACTTTAAAAAAGTGTTTCTAGCAGAAGTCTTAAGTATTTGGGAATTTTATATAGTCGTGAGCGGCTGTGATCCAAAGGGTCCATAAATACTCCACTGCACTGTGAATTGCCACATTTAACTTCGTCTTATGAAAGAAAAATCAAAATTTGTTTGTCCTGAAACTGTTGGAAGAGCATTGCACTTTAGTTTTCTTTTCCTTTGTCAGTTACTATGTTAAATTACAGACCTCTGTCCACTAAAAGCGAAACAGTGATGATCTTTCACTGTGAAGCTGTCGTGAAGAATAGTCATTGAGACTATTTTGGGAAATTAAGGGGGTTTTCACTCCTGTTCCTCTCCTTGCCTGTTGGGGTGCTGCACAAAGAACCACAGAAGAAAACGCCACAAAATCTCAGAAGAAAACACTGAGCGCAACTATGTCTTCATAAAATGTAAATAAAAATGAAGTTGCAAGATTTATTTCTTTTTTTGGTAAAAAACCTCCGGTCATTTCTCCATCTAGACTCTCGTTTTTGTTTTGGTTGTATTTACCCAGAATGCCCTTCACTGTAGTCTTCTTCCTGCTTTTGGAGCATTTGATGGTCTGCTTGATGTTCACATATGCATTCAAACCAGTCCAGGGTAGACTTCAACCAAACTGAGAGCTAGATTTTAGGTGGATCAGAGTTTAAAGTTTTTGGTGCGCATCAGAGTTTGATTAGCGAACCAAACTTTCCAGACAAACAAACTGGAGATCCACACAGAGCTGTATAATTTAGATTTGTTTCTCCGAAAATTAGAAAATTGTGTGAATAAGAATAGAAACTGTCGGTTTGAGAGTTAAACCCTCCACAAAGCTGGTGAATCCTCTGAGCTGCCTGTTTTTTTTGCTCCACCGGTCACTCCGTTTAAGCGCCAGGCGCTGGCTCTTAAATGCCAACGCTCCGCTGAGGAAAGCCCAGAGTGTGTTTTTAACTCCGCTGCCCTCTCTTTGAACGCCACCTCAGCGAGGCTGTGCTCTCATCGCACATTATCTCCTCGGGGATTATAGCACTCCACGCTGGAGAGCCGTCCCTCTTATTTTACCTCTTCAGACTGCTGTAATTCACCTGCTTTTTACATTCTGTTCTCCCCGCCACCCACTGTGACAAGTGTGTGTCAGGGCAAAGCCTGCAGGGATTAAGAAGCCCCATCTATTCAGAGGAACCTGGTGGAATTAAATATGCGTGAGCGTTCAAACTGTTCTAGTTTGTACATATTATAAAGTTCAAGAAAAAGTTAAATCTAACAGGATTTATGTTTAAATTTACAGTTGGGAAAAGATTACAAGTCTGCAAATTTGAGAGAATTCATTCGAAAGAGAAAAAAATTGTTTTGTTAAATTGATCTGGAAGTTTTGGAAGCTTTCTTCCCAAAATACGTTTGTAAAAAGTAAAAACTGTTATTTCTGATATTGTTAGAAAACAAGCCGCCAGACTTTAGCTTCTGAATACAGTTTTGATGCCAGTAATCTACAATCAGACCGATTAAGTAATTGTGGTATTTATCAGAAATGACTGCAACAAAACAAACCACGGCCCAAAATTTTTTCCCATATCATCTGCAAGATTATGACAGAACATGTGCTGTAATACTCTGTTCGTTCTCTGAATTTAGTTCATTTCTGTTTTCATTATTGTTAGAATGGTGGTGCCATCCTGGCTAATTCCTTTGTCATATGTTTCTCTGTTTATGATTTAGACTGAAAATTAGTGTTTTTTTCTTTGTGCATTTGGATTTATTTCTCTTAGATCAGATTAAGTCTGTTCCCAGTCGGTTTGTGTTTATTATACGTTTTCTCTACCTGCGTTTCCATGTCAAACGTGCCAAGAACTTTGTCGATATTTGATGTGATGTTAAAAAAACACAATTTTACAGTTGCAGTGTTTCCATTAAAAAAGAAGCGTAATTAAACTCACACGTGAATAAATTTGTTCATGCGTTAAGTCATTAAAAACAATCCTGTCATCCTTGTACCACTTCCTGTCGTCTTCTTTGTTGTTTCTGCCAACCCAGTTAGAATCCAACAATTATATTTGGGAACATGTCCTTGTTTCTCATTTTGACAAATGTATTAAAATTTCCTTAATCTGTTCTGCAAGTGTCAAACTAAACAGAAAAAAAATTGTGTGTCTTTACTTAACAGCAAGCTGAACTGAACTATGTGTTCTGTCAGTTATGTAGATTTTTATGCTGCTTTGGCTTTTAATAACTTCTGCTAAAAATTTGGCACTTCTGTGTTTTGGCAGCTGTGCTCAAGCTCTGTGGGAAACTCAAGCTGTGTGAGTCAAATGGGCTAAAATGAAGCTGCAATGAAAGATGTAGGAACTTCGTCTGATACAGTTTACTTTGCTTAGCTCATCGTTTGAGCTTCACAGTATTTTACATCCCATCAGCTTCACAGGATCCGCAGCATCACAATCACAAAGAACTGCTCACATGACATATTTGTATCATTTCTGGTGTCATGCATTAAAGTTTTTGAGGAGGCCAGTTTAAGACATTGTGATAGGAATAGAAAGAAACATATAATTATGTTGTTAACATTATCACCCTGTTGAGCATCATAACCTTAAAGCTTCTTCAGCAGTTTTCTATTCATGCAATCCCCTTATTCTTTACATAAAAGCAATTCAGTATAAATTGTGAAAAAATAAAATACTTTATTTATTTTAAGCTGCTTAGGTCTTTTTCAGAATATGTTTAAAGTATGGTTTATATAATTAAGCAAGCTTATTAGCTCAAATTTAAAAGTCAACATTCCTAAACTTATGTATTTTTAAAACACTGACGGTTTAAACATATTGGAAATTACAATGCCAGTCGGCTCTGATTTATTCCTGGATGCAACATGAAGTGAAATTAAAAGGAATTGATGCACAGTATTTAACTTATTTTGGGTCAACTTGTTCAAAATTGTACTTTTGAATTTTTTTGTTCTTTCAAATAGATTATTTTATTAGCTTGTATTATAATTTCATTTAAGAAAACTAGTGTCAGAACAGAGCAGAAAACAATAAGAAACTAATAAACAAAAATCAAAAGAATGAATTAATATGGCAACATCTTCCAGACAAAAATGAACACGGAGAGATGAACAACATATGGCAAAACCCACTTGGCGTTACGACTGGAGACTTTCTTTCAAAAATAAAACAAATTAATGAACCCGATTCTTGTGTTTCTGCACAATTAAACTGATGAAGTATTTTCTGGTTATGAAGACTCAAATAGAGATCTGAGCTACAGGGATGACGGGATTGCTGAGGCTGACACAGAAATCGAAGCCAGAGCCTCGTTGTCAGAGTTGTAGGTCTGGATCTCTCTGCTGCATGAATCATAGTAATTGGCTCTTGTCTCTGCGGAGGAATACAACATCTATTAGCTTGGAGGCATGTTTGGGTTTTGCTTAGACAACTGGATATGAATGCTGTTGAAAGTTTTCACTCTGTCTGAGATGAAAGTCTGGGTCCAATCGCAGCAAACAGGGAACAATAAGCAGAGTATGTCAAGGACAAGCTGATAGTCAACTTTAGGGTCAACCCAGAGATAATCAACGTTTCTCACATGCTAAAGACAGAGATTATCTTTGTGGCCATCTTTCTGAATCACAGATTGAAGGGGGCTGGAGATTTTATTGGGTATTAAACACAACTGGACTGAATCCACATCCAGTATGATTAAGAAGAGAAAATTTGAATATTCAGAATTCTTCTGATCAAATTATGTGTACCCTGAGAAATGACTTTCAAAGATCTGCCATAAGTGGATAAAATAAAGTTGAAGCAACTTTTAGCGGTTTAACCACTGAAGTCAAGACTTGGTCCATTTTAAACCATCAGTTTTAATCATGTGTTTTGTTTTGCAGAAGAGTGTGACAGCCCTTTGGTGTCCAACCTGCTGCCGTCATCCTTCAGGAGCTCCTCCCAGCTGTCCAGCAGCCACGCGCCAGGATTCGCTAAACTCAACCGGAGAGACGGTGAGGAAAAGCTCAGTCTGTGACCTCGTCTGGTTATAAGTGATAATCATTCACTGACTGGCTTTAGATATCGTTCTTTCTTCAGGTGAAGAGTAATTCATAAAATTAGACAACACATGGATAACTGCTGGTCACGTGTGAGAAATACTTTGCGGTTTTTCCTTATCATTTTTATAAAAAGGCATCCTGACTTGTTGGACGTTCTACCTGCAAGCAAATCTGAGTGTTTTGTATTCGGCTTAAATAATTTTTTCCAGCATTTTTTACTAGATTTTGAGTCAAAAATGAACCCCAATCCACATTTGTTCTCCTAAAACTTTAAAGTGAAAAAAAACAACAGAACAGCCTTTACAAAAAAACTTATAGATCTGTTTGTTTTACCAGTTAACTTTATAATTATTTGGTAATAAAGTCTAATTAACATATTTGTCAACAGATTGGATGAGTTTTTCTGCAGATTTTGTCTTCTAGTTAAAGCTAACAGGCTTTGCTTGCAGGTTTTCCCACCATTTCCTAATCACAGAATTTATTTTTTTCATTACTTTTTCTTCACTTTGCATCAGTTTCAGACACATATAACTAAAGTTAAGTTTACATCTTAACTTTAGTTCATCGCCATAATTGGATTGAAACTATAGAGTTCAGTTTTCAAAGTACAAAGTCATTCCCTGCAAAACAGACAAAAACAAGAAAACTCTTTTAGAACTAGATTATTTTATGGTCATTTGAAAGCTTTACTTTTAGCTTTCAGACTGAAGGCAACATATAAAAAAAACCCTCCACAAACCAAATTTATTTAAAGTAAACACACTTAGGCACAAAATCCATGGCACAATGGCTGAGTAAGTCTTTAAACCCTGGAGCACAAAAGACAACATATCAAAATCTAAATCTGTTTTTATAACCTCTCAGATAAACAGTCGCAGCAGCAGTGAGATGTTGAAATATATAGAGGATCAGAATGTATTTTGAGAGACAACACAAAACAAGATTAAGCTTTCTTTGTCTTTATTCTCTGCTGTAGCTGATGTTTTGTTTTGTATTTTGCACCAGAGGCTTGTATCAGGAATGTGAATGGTGTTTGTTCCACCAGCTGGAAATCTCATGCAGAAATCTGATTTGAGGCTTTGACAAAAATTGAGATTTTGGGATTGCTGCTTTATCTCGACATCAAAGCCCAGAATCAGCCGGGAGTGCAGGGCGGGTTTAATCTGGTTCAGACTGATTCTCACCACCTGGGAAGGCAAAGGAAGCTGAGCATGAAGAAATTCAGCAGCAGCCCATCTGCTGCCTTTGTTGGTTCACATGTGAGCAAACAGGACTTGAAAAGCTGTTCAAATAGTGAACATATTTGTAAAACACATTTGCTCGACACAACTGGTTAAAATGAATATTTTTATACTGTCAGAAATGTAGCATATTGCATTTAACAGCTGAATTGATACATGTGTACTTTAAAACTTGTGCTTTAATGTTGATAGATTGGAATCTTGATCGCTGATTGGAAATATTTGAACATGAACAAAACTCTCTTCATATTATCTGTTCTTTTACTGCTGCAGACATTTCAGTTTCTCATCTGCTTTGTAGTGATACCTCTGATCTCAATTAGGTCTACAGCTGGATTAATGAAAGAAGTTTTTGCAATAATTAATTTCCTATGTACCTTTTTCAGAGGCTAAGCCGCTAAGAGTAAAGTAGAGTTGTATTTACAGTACAATTCCCATAGATATAATATAAACGGTTAGTTATTTAGTTTCTCAGGAGAAAGTGATCAGCTCAGGGGTTGAGTGAGGTCTGTTTTGATTCATAAAGCTGTCTTTATATAGATGGACAATTATACAACTGTACATCTTTGAAAAGCAGAAGTGGAGCCTCCTCCTCAATGCAGCAAGTGGTTTCTAGATGGTTAGTCATCAACAGAACATTTGTCTTTTACAGCAGCTATTGGACCGCACATACAGCTTAGGTTGCTAGCTAACGGGCTGAGCTCCACTGGGGTTGCTAAGTTACAAACTGGTTTCACTGGAGATTTTGATTTGTGACTTTACATTTGGACTTGGAAGTGGCTCATGTTCCAGACACCAAAAACAACTGAGTGGATTTTTTAAGTGCTTGGTTTGTTTTTAGAAACAGTAGAGATTCAGTTGAAACTAGAAAAATGGATGGCTAAGTTATTGGAAATTCAGTACTTTTGCCTAGAATTTCAAGCAATAAAACCTGGGTAATTTTTATACTAAATATGTTTTTTTTTAGCTATACTTGTGATATTATGACTAATAACTTCAGCTAAGATGAAATTATACATGTAGGTTTAAAAGGTACATAATAATTGATCACTGCAGACCCGTAGCAGAGTCGTAAATTGGGTGGATGTGTCACTTCAGAACTGCATGTGTTGGCAGGTCAGAGGAGTGTCACTGTTTCTTCTCTCCTGACTTGCTGGTGCCATGCCCAAAGGATCCCATCTGTTTGCTGAGGAAATCAATGAATAAATGAAAGACTCTGTCTCATTTACCGTTGCTGCTGCCGCTGTTGATGCTGTTAGTTACCAGAGGAGCAGCTTTGCTTTCAGTTCACTTATTTCCTCAATGAATGGAAATTATTATCTTCCCACAATAGCAACAACAAAACACATTGATTTCTATTTACACATCTGCATATGTTTATTTTTTTCATAACTTTCTGTCTTTGTTGATGGTGGAACAGCATCAGGGTGATAGAGGATGTGAAAATCTACTGACTGGAAAATAACTATTATTAGGACTTTATTTTGGAATAATTTTAACATTAGCAATATTACCACTATTTTTGTAGTATTTTGACTTTAATATTATATTGACTTTGTATCATTATAACTTTATTCTCATAGTAAGTAAATAATGGTTAACATTCTTAGCCATCAGACATTTCTCTTTCTGTTGTAATTTTGATGAATATATGAGGAAGATATTTATTAATGACGCACATAACTTTAAAAATGATTTGTAATTTGTGTTATTACATTTTTGTGTTTTTAACCAAAATCCCCTGACTTTGATTTTTAGGAACAAGGGATTAAGGGTAGAAATGGAAATACTTACTTTACATATCTAGTTTTGTAGTTAAGTTTTGTTGGATCAAATAATAAAGTCCAGAACTTTATTATTTGCAGGTTTGTTCCTGCAGTATTTGGCTCAAATTAAGCACAGTTTTCATTCCTGTGTCATCATCTTCTGATTTCTCTTTCCAGCAGGATAATTCAACATTTCACAAGTTTAAACTCCGGCCTCCTCAGTCTCCAGAACTCAAATCAGTTGAGAACGTTCAGGATGTGATGAACTGGAAGAGTTGCATCATGCATTTCCAGCCCAGAAATTTGCAGCATTTGCAGGCTGGCGTTTTGATTTAACACTTTATTTCTAATGAATGTTAAACTAGTTTGCAGAATTCCCATGTTTTTTTTTTTCACTTTCATCCATGGCTTAAGAGCTTAGCCAATCAGCCTGCAAGATTATTTTAATATTCAGCAGCCGCAGGATGAATTAGTTTAGGCTTTATGTCTATCTGGTGAGATTTTGATTTCCAGTTCTCAATGCTTCTGTTTAATTTCTGCTCAATCCATTCTTTATCTCGTTACTAAAATGTTCCATCTCCAGACTCTGTTCCATAAATTATCTTTTCAATTTTCTCCTTTCTGTGCAATCATTTTCACATTTTAATCATTAGCGCTCGCTCCATCTATCAGTGAAAATGAATGGAGTGAACTTGCCAAAAGCTCATTGTGTTCTCTGTGTTCAAATATATATATATTTTATTTTGGTTGGTGAGGAGGGTAACAGCTATTCTGGTTCAACTATTCTGGAATAGCCTTTTTAAAAAAAATACTGTGTTGCTTTTAATCAATTTCCAAATTAATTTGATGTAAAATGGAGGTTGCACCTTAAATAGGAACATACTTTTGGTGTGTGAGGATGGCCAACTAATTAGGTGCTTATTCACATCTCTGTGTGTGTCGAGTGTTCAAAGTTCCAATGCTGCACTTGATGCTTGAATGGAAATGTCATGTCTGCAGGAAACATTCAGTGTTGGCCAGTATCGAGCCTTTTAGTCTCTCCGTCCAGATGACATATTATCAGGCTGCTGAAATTACCATCCAGTCCTGCTATTCTAATGCAAATGATGAGCTCTGACTCCAGCTCTCTCCTTTTTGGCTGCTTGGCTGTCTGCGGAGCTGCCGGCCTCCTCTCACCTGTAACTAGCTCTTCATTTAACTCGTGTCTCTTTGAATTTTACAGCCTCTCATATTTTCTGATCAGGTGGAATATCATGGCGGTATTAATGATTCAGCAGTCTTTTCTTTACTTGCCTGCTTTGTACAGTGATGCATCTGACCACAGCGACTTTGTCAGGCTTGATCTCTTCTCAAAAGGTGGAGCAGAAAAATCCCACTGCACCTTGACTGGCAGTAACACAACATGCACTGCTCAAATGACGAAAGTCCTCTTGGTTTCAGTAGTACAATGTCTTTTCAAGGTCATTTTATAGCACAATTAAATAAATATGTGAACTTAAGTTGTTTTAAAAATGCTGTATATATCAAGTGTGACTTAAAATAATTTTTATTTGCTAATTTAAGACCCTGAAATTGGGCCTCTGGCTCTTTAAAATCTTCTGCTGTTTTTGAAACTCTGCTCCTACAGTGAGCTCAGCAAATGTGATGTTCTGCCAGGGGTTTGCTAATTGCTGCTGACTAGTCTGAAGGAGCTGAGTGGGGGAGTTGCTTGGAAACTGAATGCTGCAAGGGAAAGCTGTGTCTCTAAGGTGGATTTAGGTCCACCAGTCATTTTGCCATAGAGATTTAGGTTTTTCACAAACATACATGAAAGAATCAAATCAACACTTTGGGCTTGTTTTTGATGGGAGAAAAAAACTATAACATGGTGTAAAGCTCATTTTCAACATTTTGTTGTTGGCTCAAATCTCCTTTTAATTCTGCAACATGTTTTAACACCAGTGTTCAATAAATGTTATCAGGCATTGGAGGATAAAATAAGGTTAAATTAACTGCATTTTGTAAATCCAAAGGGAAGTTTCCAGGAAACCAATTTTCCTTGTAAATGGTACCAACCGGAGAAAATAGCACAGTGGTCGATTAGAATAATTCCAGCTAATCAAATCCAATTATTACAAGCAGGACCTCAGGAGTCTTTTTTGTATTTTTTTTTTTTTTGCAAACATTACATTAGTAAGACAAGGAAAACAGTTACGTTTTTAAAATTGATTTGCACCTAGAATTGGGTTGCATGAGGTCATGTTTTGCCACTTCATCCACATAAATCATCTCCTGTAGAAGCTAATGGTGCATCTGAAAGCAAAATGTATTGCAAGGTATTAATTACCTGACAGAACAAAACAAAAATGTACAAAACGCTTTAATTGATGTATTTTTTAAACAGATTTTGCTTTGCAAGTGTAACTAGTGTACATCAAAAGTTCACTTCTAAATCCAACCATGTAAAACATATTATGTTATTATAACTGGTTTCTGTCACTGAGCAGGAGAATCCATGGCGTTGTGTTTGATATGAAGGAGCCATCACTTTGTCTCTGTTTCAATTACATCTGACAGGGAGGACCCGGTAAATCTTTGCAACGCCTCTTAGTCACCGACACATTTGTCTCAGATCCCGCTTTCTGTTTCTCTGCCGTCTAATTGTCACAAGTAAAGGTCAGGATGTCTGCGCTTTTCTGTTCTGCTGTCGTTGGACACATCTGGTAGTGAAGTGCTTATTAGCTCTGGCCTTTATCTCTGAAAGATCAGCCTGACCCACCACCCGACCGACACGATTCATTTTTACACCGTGTTTTCATGTTCAGGCGTTCCACATGATTCTGAACACCTAAAACTAAAAGAAAATACTGAAACTTTAAATGATTTTGCACTGCGTTATAATATTGTGTTATAATATTGAAGAAAATGCAGCCAGTAAAGTGGAACAAGTATTTCAATTAAAATTTTAAATGTGTGGCTATATCGGCGCTGTCAGCAAAGTAAGTCCTGGTTTGTTTGTTTTTTCTCAAAATTCTGGCATTTTTTTTTTTTTACAGAGTTCAGATTATTTTAAAATCAAGATTTCTTTTTTTTTTTTCAAAATTCTGACTTTCAGAATTCCGACATTTTTCCTCAGAATTTCGACATTTAAAAAAAAAAAATTCTGAATTTAATCAGTTTTATCTACAAATAAATAAGCAAAATAAATTGCAGAAGTCCAGATTCTAGAAAAAAGAGGATAGTTTGTTAATATGGACTATAAAAAGCAATTTATTCCCCTCATCTACACAACTCAATTTAAGTATTTCAATCATTCCTTAAAGTCTGACGTCTATAAAACACTTTTTCTCCTGCAGGCGCTGGAGGCTGGTCCCCCTTCACCTCAGACAGGTATCAGTGGCTGGAGGTGAACCTGGGCGAGCGGACCAAGATCACAGCTGTCGCCACACAGGGCCGCTACGGCAGCTCTGATTGGCTGACGTCTTACCAGCTGATGTTCAGCGACACGGGACACAACTGGAAGCAGTACAGACAGGAAGACAGCATAGGGGTGAGTCCATAAAGCCATAAAAAATGATAAAAAATATGGCTGAAGCTTCAGATCAATTTACCTCGCCTGGTATTTATGTGGTACTCAGTGTTTAACAATGCTAGTCTGCAGGGATCAGCCCTTCCTGAGTAAATTATCACAGTCATCAGGAGCCTTTGACTCTTCATTAATAATGGATGAACCAATGAAAGAGCTCAGCTGACAGTTCTGAGCTGCTGCCAAAACACTTGAAGCTGCTGTTTACGGCTGCAGAGAGAGCTGAGACCAGCCTGAAGCGTTGGCTCGCTCACGCTGTGTGTTTTGATGTGTATTTGGAAGAAACGCCGAAGCTGAAATTTTTCATGTTCAGTCTGTCAGAAGTACAAGTGAAGTCAGTTGAAAATATAACAGAAGTGAGAAGGTGGGAGACAAACAATACCTCCATGTGGTTGAGCATTTGTACAAAAACTGCATTAAATTTAAGTTTGGTACAAAACATTTCTAAATGGAAGAGGATTAGGAGTACCAAAAGAAATCAAGTAAAATTCTGACTTGGCACTCATAATTTAGACTTTTTTTTCTTCTCAGAATTGTTTTAAAAAAGCCAGAATTATTCTTCACAATGCGCCGTTTTACGGTCTCTCGTCACTTTAAATCCATATAAATCCATATAAAAAACATGAACTTATTTCCAAATACAGCTGCCTATGGTTTAAGCATTTGGGCTGCTTATGGCCTGTTATGCAAAATCTGAATTTTCCTTAATAGGTCCCTTTAACATGCCCGATCAGTCTATCAGTATCTTCTGTTAAAAATATATATTCCTGTACATCAACAGCTAGAAGGTGGGAACCATGCTGTATGGTACGTTTAGGTGAAAGAGGACATTCATACGGAGTCAAAACGCTGCAGGCTACATGGCGAAGGAGAGGGGATTTTGATTAGAGTTTGAGTCGAGGAACTTCGCTCATGCGGATAGAATCCAGCTCAGTTAAGTACTAAGGATCTTCCCAGAGAAGGGCTTCATGCGGATTAAAAGCATTTTGACCTGACACTCTGCATAAACGCTCACAATCTCTCTGACATTTCAGAGTGTTTGGAACTCCTGTGAACTCGGAGCTTAGAGAGAGTAGAAACAGGATGTACTGGAGCGCATTTTTCTGTAACGTTCAATGCTTCATATTTCTTAACCTTATGTTGTACAGATGAAATATGTAGAACTATGTGACTTTGCATGACTGAGTCAGCATAATTCTGGCAAATCTATCATAAACCATTTATGAGTAAAGTTTACTAAATATTTTAAAGTTGATTTAGGTTTACAGAAGCACAAAAAAGATAGAAAACAACAAATTGCTACAGCTAATTATTCAAAAATACTTCTGCAGGACAAGTTTTCACTTGTTCTGATGATTTGAATATCCTGAAATATATGCAGATATTTAAGTTAGCGACCAAAATATTTCATGTATTAATCCTAATTATGAAAGGTTTTTCAAATTACCCCAGGCGCCTGACTGCTGAGCTATGTGGGTACGGGAGGCAAAAAGACATTTCTGAGTAACCGCAGTTTGCTTATCATGTCCCTGTTATGTGTTTTCAGTATTTTCCAGGTAACTCTAATGCAGACAGTGTGGTTCAGTACAAACTGCAGCAGCCGGTCGTGGCCCGCTTCCTGCGCCTCATTCCTCTGGACTGGAATCCAAGCGGGCGGATCGGACTGCGCCTGGAGACCTACGGATGTCCATACAGTGAGAGCTCCATCCGTCACTGCTCTCATTGGAGTCTCTGGGGTTTAACAAGGAAAAAAAATCACACAGTATCTCATGCTTGCAGATTTACTCGTTAGTCTAACATATAGAGATCCTAATGAGCGTTATAAGTGGTTTTAATTGATTTAATGGTCAGAGCTGCAGGTGATAATACAAAATTAAGGGATCTTTAAATGTGTTGCTATTGAGTGATTCTAAATTTTATGGTGAAAGAAATAACGGCTGAACTACTGAACTTGTTGATTATTGTTTGTGTGTTTATAACTCAGGTGCTTCAAACCTCCAAACAGCCAAACAAAAGTTTATTTCAGATCTTAATCAATGCCATAAGAGGAAATCATACACAACAGCAAAAACAAAGACAGATGTGATGCACCGCGGCAAACGAATGAACAAGTCAGTAGAGCAGAAACTGAGAAAATATTTTCTTTTTTTTTGTAAACGGTACTTGTTCAGGTCATGAAGAAACCGCTCCACACTTTAAATAGAAATTTTGGAGGGTTTTAAAATGGTACACTGCAAAAACATAAAGTCTTACCAAGTGTTTTGTTTTAGTTTCTAGTGTAAATATGTTAGTCCACTTGAAATAAGACAAAAATGACTGAGAAGTAACTATTCAGCAAAAAACAGGAGCTTGTTTAAAGCCAATAATTCAATAAATACTAGCACAGCAGTTTATTTCACCAGTTCAATTAGCATCTTTTTCAAATCAGTTTAAGGAATTGACTTAAAACAAGCTCCTTTTTATTGTTGAATAGTTACTTGTTAGTTAGTTTTTATCTTATTTCAAGTGTGCCTCTAGAAAATAGACCAAATGTACTTGGTAACATTTTGTGTTTGAAATCAGCTTGTTTACAAGTTTGAACACATTTTTCTTAAAAAAAATTAGTTTACGTTTTATTTTGAATATCAAAAACTGCATTACGGATAACATTTCCTTTTGTTAGAAGAATATAGAGATGTTTAAAAATTGATCTTCATAGCAACTTTTTAAGATGAAATTATTCTGAAGGTTTGGTTCCCATCCAACTTTGAGAGAAACTATCAGAGCTGATTTCTCTTAAATCTTGTTTTCTTACTGCCAACATTCAAAAGGGCCATCTCTTCTAAATTACTTTTCTTTTAAAACATCATTGGGATGTTTTGAACCCACACTTTTAGAAACTGCAAATAACCCAAAACACCCCAAAATAGACTTGTTCAATCTTTTGCCGTGACCAGTCAGAAGCTGTCCTCAAAGTTTGGATATACGGCTCATTTCTACGCACACAAACATGCTGATATCTCTCTGCTTTGTTTTATTTTCCAGCCTCTGATGTGGTGCGTTTGGACGGCAGCAGCAGTTTGGTGTACAGACTAAGTCCCGGGTCCAGGCGGCCTCAGACAGATGCCATCACATTGAAGCTCAAAACCCTGAGAAACTCTGGGACGCTGCTGCAGACGGAGGGAAGAGAAGGACTCGGCCTCCGTCTGGAGTTAGACAGAGGAAAGCTGCTGCTGCTGCTGTTCAGACAAGGTGCTAATGTCTATTGACAGACGCAGAGAGTTCATGACATTTTTACATTGATTCCAATATAGTGGAGCACTTAATCTGCAGAGTTGGCGGAAACTATCCATGATGGCATTTCTTCTGATGAGGAGCATTTCCATTTCATCTTTCAGACCTTTGATTACCTTTTAAATGGATGATGAGGAAAACACACCTTCCTTCCTGATTAAATCTTTGTGCGCAGCTGTTTTTTTTGCTGCATCCCAGTCTGGTTAAAGCCTTGATTGATGGCGCCCATTTGCTGCAGCATGTGTTTGGGCTGGACTCTTCTGGTCTCGATGCATGCCAGGTGTGTCGCTGTGTGTGTTTGTGTGTGTTTGAATAGGATTACGCCAGCGGTTGTCATGTTGCCCATGCTGAATCATCACCATCTGGCACCGCTCTCACCAGAAACCCCCGCTGACCGCAGAAATACTTCATCGTCACATCCAGATTCTCCTCCTGCCTTCTTCTCTTTGAATCCTTTTTCCTTTTTTCAGACCTTTTCCTGGATTTTCTCCTGATTTCAACAAATTCCAGAATTGGCAATAAACTTTGCATGAAAGTTTCAGATCTCTTTATTTGCCAAACCTAATTTCAACCCATTTTTTTTGTAAACACTGCAATTATAATCAAACTTAATAGTTTTCGCAATCAAGAATTTTAACTGATTTCACAACTAAATGTGAAACAAAACAATGCTGCCTCACAAGCAGCAACCAGATACAGAGCTGTCTCTTTCACCACCAGCTGTGTTTCCATTTAAAATAGCACAAATTTGAATTATACAAAAAAAAATGTATAATTATAACATGCCAATTTTGATAAAACTCATGTTTAAAACATTTTTTTGCAGTAGGATGAGGTGTTTGTTTTGCTTTATTTTTCATTTTGGGGGGCAAAAGGGGGCATAACTACAACAAAAACTTTTTATTTCTACCACACAAATCATGGAATCAACAAAAGGATGTTGCAGATGAAGTATTATGTTGGTGCATTGCAAAAACAGAAAATCTTACCAAGTGTTTGTCTAGTTTCTAGAGCAAATATCTCTGCACACTTGAAAGAGGAGAAAACAAACTTATAAGTAACTTTTAAGCAAGATGTAGATGCTTGTCTTAAGTAAATGTTTATTTAATATTGATGAAAAAATAATTGTTTCATTGGCAGATTATTTCACTTATAACACTGGAAAAATGTCTTATTATAACTGAAATTTTGGAACTAATACTTTTTAAAATAAATTTTAAGAAATTCTTGACTTAAAACAAGCTGACATATCTTGCTGAAAAGTTAGTTGTAAGTTAGTTTTGCCTTATTTCAAGACTGTTGAAATATTTGCATTAGAAACTAGACAAAAAAATTTCTGTTTTTGCAATGCACAAAAACAGAAAATGTTTGTGCACACAAAATAAACTACTTTGTTTTTATTTTTATTTTTTTTAGGAATTCTCAGTCAAAAGAATCCTCTTAAAAGCCCACGTCATTAAAGAGACACTATGGCTTAGTGAGTGGAAATTAAACCCATCCATTAAAATCATGGTACAAAGGCAGAAGACGGTTGTGAAGACACTTTCTTCTAACTACCCCCTCTTTGCCTTCATGTTTCTCTTTTAGTTTCCTGTTTTCTTTTGATTATTATTCGTCTTTGTTGTCTCCATGATAACAAGCGGTAATTTGTCTTTTTAATCTCCAGATAGAGAAACTTTCGATCTGCTTTTTATCTATTATCCCGTCTCCCTCTTACATTACTTTGTATTTGAGTCTCTTGGTTGAATGATTTTTATATTTCTGATCCTCATTATTTCAGTTTCTACCTTTTTCTTTGTTTCACTTTGGAAACTCTTCATCCACGGATCAGAAGTTTTGGTTTCAGACTTTGTAATTTCGTTCATCTGATTTGAACATTGGCCTGGAGCTCAGTCATGCTCCACTTTGCTGCGCTAAATACGACTCAATCTCCTTCAGAGAAGATATACTTTACTTTAAAAGAAACAGCACTACCTAATGCAACATCTATTTTAAAACATACCCTAATCTGTAATTTACTATAATTCCAAGAATGGAGGTCTTCCATTTATATTGGGCTTTTGGACAGTGACTAAGCAAAGTATAAATATATAAAGATCTGCAGAAATCATATTTCCAGATACATATCCAGTTGTTTTTACTTTTTAAAAACCACAGATTTTATATAGTAAATTTTTTATCATTCCAAACACTGGTCATAAAATCACTGTTACCACCTGCATGAGTTAAGTTTTCTGAAATAGTAAAATAGGTTACAAATCAGCTTGGTGTGTAACATTTACCCATAAATACCAACTTACAATTCACATCAATTGTATTCATTTTATTTTAATCAACCTACAAAAACAAGTTAATGCTGATATTCATCTGAAATTTATAAGTAACAGAAGCAGATGGAGGCAAGAACGTCTTATTTATCTATTTATTTATTTACTTTAGGATAGCTGATGTAATAAAATCCCAAATGGCTCACCATTCTCATTGCACACACAACATTTTGCTTTCCAGTGTTTGATAATTAAGGTTGGAGGTAATTAAAATGGGTATATCAGTGTATGAGGGATAATGCTGCAGCGTAATCAGACCTCCTGCTCAGCCTAATGAACTTTATGGTGGGATGTGATTTACAGTTACTTCACTGCAAGTATTAAACAGCCAATCTGACCCCCTGCAACTTCAATAAAACCTCCCATGGTTATTGGCATCTAGTTCTTTTATAAATATGCTTTTTAGTGAAAGTTATGCTGAGTTTATTGGGACAGTTTTACAGCCAGGAAGTAATGAATCTTATTTGGTGTCTTAATTCTTTTAGTTCCTCCCCACTTTGAGATACAGAGGACAAAACTGCTGATATAAAACAGACACCAATGTTTCATCTTTTTATGTCTGGTTGCAAACTCAATGTTCAATATTTATGATCCCAACAGCAAGGAGCTCATTGATTACAGGTGACCTCTATTACAATTCAGATCACAATCTGGTGCAAGGACTCATTTGCTTGGAGCAATATTTGGCTTTTATGGTCTGTGCCTCCATTTTTCACAACAAAAGTATAAAGATGATTGTAGACACAAAAAAAGAGAAGTTCATGTCTGCCAAAAAATTTGAAATTTTAAGATTAATCTCAGAAATTTCCCAGAAAAAAGAATCCAAAATTTTCTAAGTTAAAATTTCTCAACTTTTGAAACTCTAAAAATTTCCATTTTTTTCTTACAAAGTTTTTTGAAAAATTTCTTGAGGTTTTTCTAGTACATTTTTTATTTTCCAAACAAAGTTTTTTTATTTTTTTCTAGTTGTTTCTGAGTTTAATCTTAATTTTTTTCTTGGCAAATTTTTGACTGTTGGACTCAAAAATGCTCTTGTTTTTTCTAAAAAGAAATTCTGAAATCACAACCTCAGATTTCTTTTGGTGGAAATTTTTTCTACTCAGAATAGCCCTGATATTGTTGCCATGCAACATGATGTGTATCCTTGATTTTTTTGTTTTGTTACAATACCACAAAATATAATCAATGCATTTTATTTAGATTTTCTGTAAAGGACCAATGCAATTGTGTTTATAAAAGCGGAAAGAAAATGATTTTCAAAATGTTTTCAAACGTAAAAAAGTCATGCGCATATTGGTGAAAGGAGTCCAATTTTTGGTAAATCAATATTTCTATAAATAAATACAATTATTCTCTGGTTATTCAATACGTTTTCTGAAGCATCACTGGCAATAATTGTGTTGGCAACATCAAAAAACATTCATATCCACAATCCCCAGAAAACTAAAATATGGACAGACAGCCCTTCAGAAGAAAACTTGTGACATAGTTTAAGTGCAAAGCTTCCCAATTTTGCATGTTAATAATATATTTAGCTAATTGGACTGACTTTTACTGCCCTCAATCATCACATCAATGCATATTTTCAGTTGCAGAATCTCACAAAGTTTGTTGGTGACATTTTGCTGAAGAAAAGTCTTGAAACTGTATGTTAGTCATATATTGTAATCACACATATACAAAAGGTATTGAAATTGAAATAGTGTGAGGATTATGTTTTTTTTTTTTTTGCAAACTGTACATTTATTGATGCCTAAAATAAATGACCCTTTGTTTCAGCTTGCAAAACGTTCAGTAATGGGTGGGAGGAGCTGCAGACGGTGATATGGAAGAGCAAAGACAGAGACTATTTCATAAATGAATATCAATTCATTCTTCTTGTTTGCACTCTCATATTGATTCCCGTTTTTACTTTTTCTTTTCAATTATTCAAGTTGTAATGAAATCTTCCCTCTGGAGAGATTCTATCATGCAGTCGTCTTCCTGGTCTCACTGCTTCATACAAACTAATAACTGTTCCATTAATCAATGCAAGTCAAGGAATGTCATTTGCTTTCATGTTGTGCTGCCATCTTTTATTGACTGCTGCTTCTTTTTGTTTTTAATATAATAAAAACTTTCACAGCATTTTTCCCCATGTAAGTGAAGTGGTATGTTTTCACTTTGAACCTTTTGTAAAATATTTTGCACTGCAAACAATACCAATTTTTACAAAATACTTCAGTCCAGTTAGCCTAAATAGATTACTACAATTGAAATAAAACAAAATTAACTTACAAGGAACTTTTCAGCAAAATATATGAGTTTGTTTTAAGTCAATTATTCCTTAATATTGTTATAAAAGTACTTGCTAGATTGGCAGATTTTTCACTTATAGCAAGACATTTGTTCCATGTCATACATAGTAGAAATAATACTATTTTAATCGAGTATTATTTTTCCTTTATAAAGGAATTATTTAGTTAAACCAAGTAGCCAAGTGTCTTATTTTAAAAAATACTTTGTGAGATTTTGTGTTTTAAAACATGTTTCTGTGTGTTTTACCAAACTTTACATTTTCTCTCTGAAGTTAAAACTGACGTTGCCTTGTTAATATCTGATGCATTTTTAATGCTATATTGTATTCAGTTCTTTCTTCTCTTCCATCTTGCAGCAGAAACAAGTTTTTTTCTCTCAGTTCTTTGGGGATTCTGGAATGCATCCACTAATTCGGGTCTGCTGGTGCTCATTTATGATTAATGATGCGTTCCCTCTGTAGTCTTTCAAATTAGGCTTCATAACATATTTGGCTTCTGTTTTTCGCTGCTGGTATATAGATGTTGACAGGAGTCTCCAGCGAATTGTGAGGAGGTGACCTCGCCATGATCCCCCCCATAGTCTCAACTGAATGACGAGCTGAAAAGAAACTTTTACTCTATTGAAAACTTAATAAGTAACATTTTTTTGTCTACTTAATTGTAGGTAGGACTTTATCTGCTGAACCTCAACGTCTTGCAGCTCTTGGAAGCCTTTTGGATGATCAGCATTGGCACCATGTGGCAGTGGAGCTACACGGCCTTCACCTCAACCTCACAGTGGATAAACACACACTGAGGGTTAAAATCCCGCCGCAGTTCCACCACCTCGACATACAAGAGGTTTGATGAACCGAAAAGCTGCCTCAGCTAACACGGTTCTGAGTTGCTAACACTCTGTGTTTGGGATCACAGCTGAGAGTGGGGGCAGTTCAGGCTCTCGGGTCTCACAAGCCATTTCATTCCAAGAGGAACTTCCACGGCTGCCTGGAAAACTTGCTGTTCAACGGTCTCAACCTGATCGAACTCGCTAAAGTCAAGGACCACAAAGTTTCTCTAGTGGTAAGTTTAATCAACCACCAGGACTTTCTCCTCTGTGGCAGCATCTTTTCAGACTGGTTTTAAAAATAGATCTGTGACTACATTCACACAACAGGTCTTGAGGTTCAATCCTATTCATTTCTTTCTGAAATCTTATCTTGTTGTTTGCGGGTCGCTCATGCTACCAATCAAACCCGACTGTAATCAGGATTGTGTGTGAATATTTATGCCCCCAAAGTGACCCGCAGACAAAAAAACGACGTTTCACAGCATCGCATCACTTACCGAAGTAACGATATATGGATCTGTTTTTGGATCGATTTAAAAGTTTATTCACCAATAAGAGGTGACAGGATTATCACAGGATTATAACAAGATAAAGACAGCTTAGAAAAAGAAAGCGCAGCTAATAGTGATCACCTTTTATGGAGGACTGACTGCAACTTCTGTAAGGACGTCTGTTTGTGCAATCTGAGGCGATTCTGGTTTGTTTGTTTTAAGTCTATAATTCCTTAATATTGATGAGAAAATATTAGACATAAATGAAATAATCTGCCATTACTTTTTCATTTAAACTTGAAACTGGTACAATTTTGTGTTTTTGCAGTGTAATTATTTCTTTATACACTTTCATTATTGGAAATGATTAGAAATAATTTACTAGGTTCCAGTTAGAATCGTTGATTTTTTTTTTTTTGTAGCTGGGATTAATTTTGGTTACCTGCTCACTTTTTTAAGCTTCATCTTAAGATGAAGATGGTTCTTTATGAATAAAATGGTAAAAAAACCAAAAACATTAAGGACATCAGAAAGAGAAACTTGACATTTAAAGTGTCCTAATAGTGTTTTTCCCATTTAATTTTCTCCTTATTTCAGCTGTATCAGAGCCTTTCAGGTGTTTCTACAGACATTAAAGGAGCCATCGCTCTTAGGAGGAAATGTGAGGACCTCCTGCTGGGGATATTAAAAGCAAATTGAAACTGTGGACGGACATTTTCAGACTCTTGAAGTCAGGTGTTGTAATGAGGCTCTAACTCTGAAAGGGACTGTCAGCAAACTTACAGCCACTTCCACTGCAGAAAACTACAAAGTGCTTTTTAACGTTCTGCGGAGGACGCTTAACGAGAAAAGAGGTGGAGGAGATATCTTGTCAGTTCCCAGGGTATTTAAAGTAACGTTTTCATGAGGCAATGAAGCCTACTGAGACTTGAATCATTGCGCGTCATTTTAAGTGCACCACAAAGAGTTTTTACATGTCATCTGAGCTCCCATTGCATTGTAAAAGCAACTGGGGATAAAACTTGCTGTATATCTGGCGCTGTTATAGTTCACTGATGCATTCTGGGCAATGGACAGTTTCATCATCACTACTGAAAACAGCAATCTGATGATGCAGGGCACTTTCTTTTTTCTGTTTTTGATTTTTTATCTCTTTTACCTTTGCGTGAGGTGACTTTGGTATTTTAAGTTTCTAATCTTATCCCAAGCTTCGCTGTTATCAATATGGAAATACAGTTGTCCTCCTTAAGGAGACTCGCTGATGAGATCACCGTGACAGAGGCCACATCAACGCGCCCTCTGCAGCTGATTAATATTCATGTTTTCTGATGCTTTATCTCTCCACTAATCATTTAGTTCACTCTAAGTTTTTTTTGGTTTTTCAAGGGCAATGTGACCTTTTCCTGTGCCGATCCGGTTCCTGTTTCCGTGACGTTTCCCGGCCTCCAGAGCTTCCTCCAGTTGCCATGGACAACGCCGTCGTCTTCTGGGAGCGTGTCGATCGGGTTTCAGTTTCGGACCTGGAACAAGGCGGGGCTTTTGCTCACCTTTCAGCTCCCTCACCAAGGAGGCGTGGCCTGGTTGTTTCTGAGCGAGGCGAAACTCCGCCTCCAGATCCAGAAAGGAGGACGGGTTCTGCTGGAGCTCAGTGCAGGTCAGCTAAACACACCTCTAAACTACAATTTAATCAGTAGAAACCATGAACAGGTAGCAAAGTTTGGTTACAGTGAAATATCTGGATATGTTCCAGGATGTTGTGCATCCATTAAAACTTATGATGGCCATTTTGTTTGACAAGCATGTTTTACAGAACCTTTTTCTTTTTCTTATTTTCAACTTTGATGTCAAGTCAGTATATTTTGTTAAGATCTCATGTTAAACATAAATAAATTAAGTTTCGTAAACTTAATTTCACTACAAGTGACAAATAAACTCAATATTTCTTAAGTTGAAACTCCATCAGCTCATGGAACAGTTTATACACAAGCATGATTAACAGCACAAAGACTCTCCTGGATCTGATTAGTTGTTTTTGACCAGGAGTGATGCGTTTCTGCAAACTGCAATAAAAGCACTGGGAAGAGCCAGATTGTTTTCCATCTCAAGTGACACAATCTGAATAAATATGCAAAAAACATTTTTTTTTTTTGTAAAAGTTATATACTTCAACTTTAAAGGGGATTTTAAAAAGATGCAGCGCACCAACAAATATGCATATTAACGATGTTGCTGTTGCATTATAATCTGAACATATGTTTTTTTTACTGACTGCTGTTAATCGATCACATGGTGACTCTGAAGTATAAAGTTAGTCTGAGTAAAACTGTTAAAACCTTTTGAGCCACTGATTTTCCTCTTCCTCTCTTCATTTTGTCCCTAAACTCGGCGCTTTTCTTTGACTGCATGACAAATGGGTTTTGTCCCTCAGAAACCTGCATATTTACAACAGTGCATACTTTTGCCGCCGTTGGGCTCTTCTGAGGTGACTGACCTCTTTGCTAGGGGCCTGAGCACAGCATTTATTTACTTTTGCTTGGAGAGAAGCTGTTTTGTGAGATCCCATGTGTTGCAGCCAGAACAATGGATAAAAGCCAAGCGCACAGCAGCCGTGTTGCTTTAATAAGCTACTTTATTCACTTTATTTAGTCTGCTGTACATGTGATTAGGTTGTATCCTTTCATTACTACCAAGTGTGAAGAATCCCTGCCTGGGGGTGGCCATTCATTATACAGTTTATCATTTATCATGACATTTTCTTTTTCATCATATTAAGAATTTTGATTTGTGGTTGTCATAATGGATTTCAGTTACATTAAAATTCAATTAAATTCCTTTTAACCATATCAAATGTTATTAAAGCACTTTAAGACCATCGAGGTAGAAAACAACTTCCCAAATACAAACACATTTCACCCACCTGTCATACAAAAAAAATAAACTTCTGAGAGCCACTACTATGTAGCTACTCTATGTAAATATATATGGACTTGCAAAGTTGTTCTATCATTTACTGTTTGGTGAAGAATGTACGCGCAAAATCCATATCCAATTTTACCTTATTAGCAACGACAATAGCTTTATGAATAAATATTAGACACATGTTGTTTGGCCCCTGGAAGAGGACGCTGTGCACAATACCCCAAGATGTTGAAATTATGTTGTTGAGTAAATCGTTGCCACAGGAAAAAAATTGGCAAAGGACATAATGAGATATTGATGCACTTCAACAACAAACAGATACTGAGTGCTGGCGAAACTCTGTGTGGGTTTGGAACAAGTCTATCACAGAAAGACTACAACTAACCTGCAGCTGCTGCTGCTGCTGTCAATATGTGTGAATGTGCCTTGAAATGAAGTCTTAAATATGAGACATGATTTTCAAAAAGCTGGTGGTCGGTTTGCACTGTAAAAACTAAATCCTACAGAGTGTTTCTGATGCACATATCTCAATACATTTGATATAAGACAAAACAAACTCGCAAATAATTTTTCAGCAAGATAGAGGACCTTATTTTAAGTAAATTATTTTAATTATAATTATAACAGGACATTTTCCCCATGTTTTGAAAAAATCTGCCAGTGGAACTGATTTAAATCAACATCAAGGATTTACTGACTTAAAAAAAATCCTATTTTATGCTGAAAAGTTTATTTTGTCTTATTTCAAATGAACTAAGCTATTTGCACTAGAAACTAGGCAAACACACTTGGTAAGATTTTGTGTCTTTGCAGTATGGATTAGTTACCACACTGCAAAAATACAAAATCTTATCAAGTTTCTAGTGCAAATATTGTAGCACATTTAAAATAAGACAAAACTAATGTATAAATAACTTTTAACAAGATATAAGAGCTTGTTTTATGTAAAAAATATATATTTAAAATTGATGAAAAGATTTTTGTTCCATTAGCTGATTATTTCACTGGTAACATGAAAAAAATGTCTTGTTATAAAGTGAAATAATCTGCCAATGGAACTAATTTTTCAAATTAATATTAAGGACTTAAAAGCTTAATATTACTTGTAGCTTAAAGTTTAAAGTTACTTGTAGGTTAATTTTGTCTTATTTCAAGATATTTGTCCTAGAAATTAGACCAAAAATGCAAATTTTATGTTTTTGCAGTGTAATAAAGGATTTTAAATGGGAATTTGTCTTTAAGGTTCTGCACTCAGTGACGGCCAGTGGCATTCAGTGGCACTGACCTCCAGGCGAAGTCATCTGAGTGTCTGTGTGGATAAAGATGAAGGCGGCAGCGCTCAGGCCAGCCCGTCATTTCCTGTCGCAGTAGAAAGTCACGTCTTCTTCGGTGGTGAGAGCTGAAGCAGATCCTAACGGATCAGTTCAGACTACAGAATTACACTTCAGCATCTTAACTGTGTTGTCTTCTCCTCAGGATGTCCTGCTGGAGATGCTCCAGGATGTAGAAACCACTTCAGCTCCTTCCAGGGCTGCGTGCGTTTGCTCAGTCTGGACGGCAGGATTATGGACCTGATCGCAGTGCAGCAGAAGCAGCTGGGAAATTACAGCAATCTGCAGATTGACATGTGTGGAATAATCGACAGGTTTGTAGTTTAAACAGTTTGTAGTTTAAACAAAGACAAAGTTTTAATTGATGTGATTCAGAAAGTGTGACACTAAAAAAAAGCTAGAACCTTTAAGATGCAGTTTTTATAGATGAGGCAGAAAACAAATCTATCCTTCTGCTTCTTTCTGTGACTCTTTCTTTTTTTCTTCCTTCATTTCCCCTTTCCTTCCTTCTTTGCTCTCATTTCCTTCCTTCCTTTTTTCCGTTTCCATCCATCCATCCATCCATTCATGTTCTTTTCTTCCTTCTTCAAATTCTGCATTTTACATTTTAAGGTGTTTTATTGTTGGATCTGTAAGTGAAATCTCATCAAAGATAAGTTGCCCCCAAATGCAGCAACGTTTCTCTGCTCATTCATAATCCACAGTCTTCAGGCGACTGTGGTCACATGTTTGCAGTCAACAGATAATTAGGTTATGCAACTTCTACTTTCTAAATGTTTTGTATTTACCTGAGGATAATATTTTGCATTTACAGTAATTGCCATGTGACAAAATGAAAGTATCATATTTTATGGCTGCTCAGAATTAGCTCGAATCTCAGAGGTTAGAAAGATGCAGAGATGCGAAGGAAAAGATGTGGAGGAAAGCTAATCGTTTTTCTGTTTTGGCTTTACACCAAACAGCAGCACGATTAATGAGACAATTGCAGCAATCATAAACCCGATTGTAGAGCCTCAGAGGACACGAGACAGCCACTAAAAAACCCAAACACACACAGCTGCTCTCCACATAAACAAGATGTGAACATGGACTCAGACACTAGTATCCACAAATCATTGGCAGATAGGGAGAAACCACTTGAGTGATTTTAATTAAATATCTCTCAGCTTTTGCATCCCAATTCATCAGACTACAGCTCCTCCACAGATCTGACTTTTCAGTTGGAACAAAGAGAGAAAAAAATCTGTTTTCCTGTAAAAACAGAAGAATATAGAGTGTGCTCCCTCTGCGTTACCCTGCTGATTTGATATGAGCCACCTGGGACAATTTCTGCAGGAATGTCAGGTGGAAAATGAACTCAGCAACACTGTTTCAGCATGGTACCTGATATTCCTCAGCAGGTTATTACTGTATTTTCTACAGGGGGAGGGGTGAAGCAGGTTAGTGTTGCTGCAACCAGCAAAGAATATTATTAGACAAACAGTCCATTAACAGCACAAATTGAAAGCAATCCGGAGGGAGCTCTGCATCACCTCTGTACCCCACGACTCCACACATTTTGCCTTTTCTGCCTTAACACAGGTCTATTCAAAACAACAGAACAGAAAAGAGCATTTCTTCAGAAGTCTATCATAAAAGGATTCAGCACAGAAAGCGGTATTTTTTTAAAACTAAACTGTGGATTTGTTCGACTATTTTTATGCCAAGGTAAATATATAAAAGTGATCAAAACAAAACCCTGGTGCTGCTAATCAGATGCCCCTGATTGTCCGATCATCATCAGTAGCTGCGTTTCCATTACAAATGTGCGCAAAATTTTGGACATATTCTGCAAATGATGAAAAAACCAATTCCGGTGTTTTCATTAAAATCACGTGACTATGTTCCTTCTGCTTTAGATTTCAACTGTAGCTTGCATCCACTGTTGGATTTCTACCATTAAATTATTGCCTTTTGTCAATTTCTCCTAATGAGACCAGTATGTTTCAAAAAATGAAATATTTTCTTTTTCTTCATTACTACCAAGAAACCACATTTTCTCATTTCAGTTCCTATTTCCATATTCAATAAGCTGATAAGTTTATTCACGCAGTAAATCTTTAAAAATAATCATCCTCCAATAACTTCCTGTCGTCTTCTTCGTTGTTTTTATCGGTGTCAATTTCCAGTTGATAATCGTGTGAAACAAAAGTGTTTTTATCGCAGTTTTGAGAAATTAATCAGTTTTGAGTGGGCAAACATCTGATAAGCCCCAAACTCAGACCAATTACAGACTAAGGAAATGTAAAAATCCCGAAGAATCTCTCTGTGTTTGTGTTTTAGGTGCTCTCCGAGTCGCTGTGAACATGGCGGCCTCTGCAGTCAGACCTGGACCGTCTTCCACTGTAACTGCTCCGACAGCGGCTACAGAGGCGCCACCTGCCACAGCTGTGAGTCACAGAGACAGGAGCATCACTCCTACAAATAAACCGTAAAAAGTTTATTTCTAAGCTCACATCATTTCGTATCATTTCTAAAGTATTGGACTCTAAGTTTCAATAAGTTTAATTGTATCAATATTGCACTACAAAACAAAACTCTTAGTATACTTGAAATAAGACAAATTTAAGTTAAAAGTAGCATTTTAGCAAGATATTTGAGCTTACGTGAATAATTCATTAATACTTACAATACAGTTCGAGTTGCATTGGCAGATTATTTCACTCATAAGAACAAATGTTAACTTTTCATCAATGTTAATGAATTCTTGTCCTAAAACAAGGTTCTAAATCTTGCTAAAAAGCTATAAATTAGATATTTTTTTTGCACTCGAAATTAGATTAAAAATACTTATCAGGATTCTGTGGTTTTGCAGTGCACAAAAAGTTAAGTGATCGCCGATCATTTATGATTTTTTCCAGTCACATATGTTCCTCGCTTTCCTTCCAGTTTTTAATAACTCGTTGCACAACTTTTAATCAAGTTTTAGTAGCTTCTGCAATTTCTTTAGATGTTTTCTCCACGATTTGACCGATTTTAAATAAACAAACATGTTTTTAGGACCCTGGGATGTGTCTGTCTACGTGTTTTTTTTTTTTAAAGAAGTCAGTTGGAGTTAAACAACTTGTTGCCTGCTGAAAGCTAATTTTCGATGTAGCAATTATCCGAAAGGAGGTTATTTGCAAACGCTAGTCAGAGACATTTTTTGTCCAGTGTGTTTCTATGTGAAGCAGCAATCACGATCTTTTCCAGCAGTGTTTGGTCTTCATCCCTGTCTCTGCTCCTGCAGGCGACTTCCTGACGATGTTCTCATTATTTTTCCTCCCAGCTGTGTATGAGGAGTCCTGTGAAGTGTACAAACACAGCGGCAACACGTCGGGATATTTTCACATCGACGTGGACGGCAGCGGACCCATCAAACCACAGCTGGTCTACTGCAACATGACAGGTTTCACACACACACACGCATGCACACACACACACACACACACACACACACACACACACACACACACACACACACGCACCGCAACTCTATTAAGTCATAACTTTGTTTTGAATGCTTGGCATTTGCATAATTGCAAATGATGATTCTTCACTCATCTCAGTCTGATTCACTTTATTTTCTACCTGCCTGCCTGAAATGCTTTCTCTCCCCTGGTGTACATCATCTTTATTATGATAGCATTGATGCTTCTTGTGCTTTTTTTTTTTTTAAATCTCCATTGTATCGTCATCCATCCTACCAGCTTCTTACGTGCTTACATTATGATATAAACCGTGATAGGACAGTTGTTTCAGAGCATTGTTTTGGTGAAACGCAAATTGTTGTCTGCAGGAAATTGATCACAATCATGAATATTAACCTGACTGAGGGCAAAGACTATATGTTGGGGATAAAATTTGTGAAAATTCTTGCCACTGTCTCGTTTTAACAGGTTTTGGGCTTTGATAGAACAAAAAACTGAGAATTATGGAATTATTTTGCTCTTAAAAAGAAAGAGAAACATACAAAAACTTTGTGATTCTGTTCCAAACAAACAAAGAAAAGAAGAACTTAACTTAAATCTAGCTCCTATATCTTGCTGAGGAGTTACTTGTAAATTAGTTTTGTGTTATTTCAGATATACTACGATATTTGGACTATAATCTATACCAAAAATAGTAAGATTTTGTTTATTTCCACTATGAAGTGAATTGATCTGGTTAAAAGGATTAAAAAATAAGGTTGAAGCTGGATTTAAAGATAAATTTCACTGAATTATGTACACTCAATTGCTTTCTTTGTCAAAAAAATTAGAAAGTAATAATTAAATTAATACATTTTTATGTCTACAGAGAGCGACACATGGATGATTATCCAACACAACAACAGTGAGCTGACCAGACTGCGACCGGTTTCTGGTGTGGACCAACAATCGCTCCACTTCAGCTACTCATCTGAAGAGGAGCAGCTTTTAGGCTCCATCAGCCAATCAGAGCACTGTGAACAGGAACTATCCTACCACTGCAGGAAGTCCCGCCTTCTCAACACCCCAGGTAGAGATGCTCTCGTGTTTTCTTTATCATTTCAAGGCAGAACATTTAATTTTGGTAATATGAACCATGAAGATGGATAAAACTGGTAAATGTAGCACACATATCTCTTTATTGAGCTTGAACTTGTTTACAGGTTTAAATTTCTGTTAGACTTGATAATAAAATCAAATTATTAATGGGGAATTTTAAGGCAAGTATAGGTTGATTTTCTTTAATGATGTGAATTATAATTAGTCAACAAAAGACCCCTATATATAACCTACATTTATACAAACAACTAGCTTCACCGGGTGTTTGATATTTGATTTTTATGTTGGTTAATTATAATTACGTGTAAAGTAACCTGACGTCCACGTGGACATTTGGAGTAAACTCGTCCAAAAGAAACATAGATAAAGAGTTGATTTCTGTCAAAATGTTCATTTCTTTGTGTGTGTGTTTCAGAGGGGTCTCCGTTCAGCTGGTGGCTCGGCGGCCGCGCGCCGGGCCGTGAGCAGACGTACTGGGGAGGAGCTCATCCCGGCAGCCAGCAGTGTGGCTGCGGCCTGCGGGGCGACTGCGTGGATCCACAACACTACTGCAACTGCGACGCAGACAGATTGGAGTGGTACTGACGATTATAGACACGTACAGTCGTCTGTCATGTGGTTTTCCAATCATATGTGGACATCCATCCATCCAAGCATCTATCTGCACTCGCTTATCCTCACAAGGTTGCAGGGGAGTTAATGGTGTCTATCTCCAGCAGCCATCATTCGAGAGGCAGGGAACATCCTGGACAGATCGCCAGTCCATCACAGAGCAACGCAAATACACACAAAACAAAACACACACACACACTCTTATGTAAAGATAATTTATTATAGTCTATTAACTTGAGAACCCAGGCAAGCAGAGGGAGAAAATTCAAATTCCAGTGAAATAATCTGCAAGTGAAACTAGTTCCTTTTTTAAATTACAAAATTATTGACATATAACAAGCTCTGTTTTAGCAGTTTAAGATTTTGTTTTTGTATTGCAAAGACTTATTGATAAATATAAACTTGCAAAAAGAGGTTAAAGGCCAGATTTTTATCCTGCTGAGGTACTGTGGAGTGACTTGAAATGCTCTGCTGTGTCAGCATCATTGAACAATAAGGGCGCTATTCTGTTATATTCATCTAACTGCTGATACAGACTTAAAACAGCAGCACTTTCTGACCCCATCTGCCTCACAGTGCAGCTTGCCACACAGAAATGATTAACGATCAGCGAAGAAAACATGTCAAAATCAGAATGAAGTTATACGAACGCTCAGCCGAAATCAACACGCAGAAAATAAACGAGCCTCTCGCCACATCTGAACCTTTCACCTCGCTCCGCTTCACACGGATGACTGGCAACGCACCATTTGCAACTTCAGTAGTTTAGCAAACACCAAATCATCTGGAATAAACTGACAAGGCAAAAACAAAACAAAAAAAAAAACTGTTTTAACCTTTGATCATGTTGTAAGCACATAGCAACACTCACCCACAAATCCTGACTTCCATTGTGATGTTTTTTCACAGAAAAGAGCTACTACTGCTGCGCCTCAATTTTTTATCAGGCATAAAAATTCTGTGCTCTCTCCTGGCCGTTTTTTTTGTAATCCTGAATTTTTACTCTGCAAAAACGATATAAAATATAAAGATGAAATGGGCGTAAAAGTTCAATTTTGAAAGAACACTGCAAAAATACAAAATATTTCCAAGTATATTTGTCTTGATTTTAGTATAAATATCTTAGTACAAATGAAACTAACTTAAAAGAGATATAAGCTTGTTTTACGTCAATAATTCTTGAATATAGTTTAAAAAAATGCTAGTTCCATTAGCATATTTTATTTCTGTCAAAATTAAATTTTCCTGTTTTAAGTGAATAAAATCTGCAAGTGGAACTAGTATTGTTTGTAACCGTATTCAAAAATTGTTGACTTAAACAGCGTGTTTATCTTTTTGAAAACTTACTTGTATGTCATACTAAATATTAGCACTGGAAACTGGACTAAAATTCATGACAAAACCTTGTTTTTTGCAGTGAAGTGATGCGTCTAGATGCTGCATTGTTAACCTTCCATCTAATGTTGTCGCTACATGAGTTGGACATTCTTGTGAATCTGCAAGCTGCCAATGAAGGAGCAGTTTTTGACATTTTTTATGTGTTTTTTTCCAGGACTGAGGACTCAGGCCTGGTTACCCATAAGGAAAGCCTCCCAGTCAGATCTCTGGTATTGGGTGACCTCCAGAGGCCGGGGTCAGAGGCAGCGTACAGGGTGGGACCACTCCGCTGCTATGGAGACAGTAAGTTTCTCTAAATCAGGGGTTCCTAACATTTTCTCCTATTGGACTCACCATGCATACAACCAAACATAAACCTCTCTAACTTATTTATCTTAAACATAGATTTTAGGAGATCTATTATGCTTCACTGAACAGATTAGGATATGGTCTGTACAAAACATGTTTTAATTTATTTGTTGCACAAAATCATTCTTAAACAGATTTTAGTCTGGTCTTTCCTTCCTGTTTGAGCTTTTTTTTTCTTTCTTGTTTTAGAATGATCTGTTTTATGGACTCTGTAACTTTAAATCCAGATAAGCTGCTGTAAACAGTCTGGGCTTTGCTGGGGTTACAAATAACAGAGAAATCAACAACCAGGAGGTTTTTGAATTGGCTCATTTTCCAGACACCAAAAAAACCCTCATTAACTTACAGCCAAAAAAACAACTGTGTGTTTTTTTTTTTTTAGAAGAAGTTGAGACCAAAATAGAAACAAAACCCTGGAAAATGTAAAAAACAAAACAAAATATCAACTAGAATTTTTACTTCTTCAGAAAGAACTAAAAAAGCCTTTTGCATGGGAGGTGAAACATCGTGAACAGCCCAATAAATCCAGTTGCCTCCTACTTAAACACTTCATACATACAGGAATTCATTCTCCATGCAGTAAATCTTCCACAAATATGTTTAAAATTTGACAAACAGCCAAAATGGTAATTTTAAATCTAAAACTTAAAAGTTCTAGATTTATGCATGCTCAGTAAAATTGCCTGGATTTCATTTACTGTTTTGCAATTTAAGCCACATTTTCTGAAAACAATTTTAATTCTAAAACACTTTCCTGTTCGCCATCCTGGTTTGGCTTTTTTGGTTTTATTCTGAATATCTTGACAGTTGATTTATTTGTTTTCCCCACTTTTTTCGCAGAGAACTTCTGGAACGCTGCATTTTTGACGAGGAGACGTCATACCTCCACTTCCCCACCTTCCACGGTGAGCTGAGCGCAGACATCTCCTTCCTTTTTAAGACCACTGCTTCCTCTGGAGTATTTCTGGAAAATCTTGGCATTCAGGACTTCATCCGGATCGAACTAAGCAGTGAGTAGAAACTGGATTACAACACTGAATATCACTCGAGTGCAGGGGGGAATTAGTTACACTTTTCTGTGATTATAATGAGTCTGAACTTTGATGTTTGTACTTTTAAAGTGTCAGAAAATATATATTTTTTATTCTTCAGAAAAGAATAAAATATTTTGTTTGCCTATTTAATGTTTGTCATCCAAAATGTATTCTGACAGCCCAAGCAGAAAATTGGGGATTATTAAAACCATTAAAACAAAGCTACTAATTACCTTAGCCCATGTTTTTAATTTTAGAAATGTTCCATCATGTTTCCCCTCTGACCTTTCATTAAGTGTTTTCCCTTGAGAAACGTGCAACAGATCATTCTCATCACTGCTTTTTTAAATGTGTGTAGTTTGTGGGTGATTGCACCTGATGTCAGACGTTTTATCTAATTTAGATAAGTTTCTTGTTTTGTTTTTAGAAATTATCTGTAGCCATTATGCACAGTAGTTCATTTATATCGACTGAAAACTGGCCAAATCTATCAATTATGTAATTCTGTTTTGTTAATCAAATTAATTGCAGATTCCAGGCTTTCTAACCCAGTATGATTGTGTTATGTAATTCTAATTTGACAAATTAATCAAGCAGAAGGAAATTAATGGATTAGTATGAAGTCCCTTATGAGCAAATTCAGGATGATGGACAACACTGGGAACAAGGAGAGCGATGGCAAAAGAAAAGAATTAGAACATACTTACTGCCTATAAAGTAAAACTAGCCCCCAAATCAACTTTGTTTGCTGACAAACTGTCTAAATATGTTATTTAGGGTTCTAACTTAAAGTTGTTGTGCAAATTTTGATGTTTTCGTGTAAATTTGTCCCACAGTGTTTTGCCTGAAACCGTCTCCCGGTTTTTCTCTTTGGTCAGATGTTGCCTAAGCAGTTTAATTCAATTCGCCCGTTTGTTTGAGACTGTACAGCTTTACGTCACGTCATTACGTACAGCCTTATTTTTCTGACTTTGGTATTTTAAGTATTCGTTTCTATTTTTCTGTTTAAAGCCAGCCACCTTAATAAAACAACGGCCAGCCAGTGAGCAATTTCTGTTTGAAATGTAACCGACTACAGGCCAACCCTTAAAGTCAAAACTCCAAATTTATACATTACAGCTTTTTTAATCTTAGATGACAGTTGTGTGTCATTTGGCACCATTTTGCAATTGCTAATTCAATTGCAATTGCATTTCAGAGTCAACTTAGAGTTGGATTTCCAAGGATTAAGTGAACATTTCTGGGATGGAGGCAGTTTTAGTGTTTTATCCACTAAAGAACATTATTTTATGAATGTAAATTACAGTATACTAAAGTCATACCAAATTTAATAAATTATAATATTAATTCAAATGAGTTTTGTTTGTATACATTAAACCTACATCTAATTAAAAGTATTCTGCAAAATCCTGTATTAAAATGTCTTATTTTAATGATCTTATGTCAAATTTCAAATGTTTTTATTAACTATCAGCAGAAAATTATCATTATTACCAGAAATAAGGCTTGAAAACATCAATCTGTTAATTAATCTGTATAATATGCTTCACTTGGTGAATTGAGCTGCTGAAATGAATGAGCTTTTCAGTAAGAATTTATATTTTGAATACGACTGTAAAATATGTCCCTCGGCCATTAGCTTCATGTCGTTCCATAAAAACTAAACTATCACGTCATAATTTTCAAATACTCAAATCTTGTTTATATTGATAAAAATCCCAAAATGTTTTCATAACTCACATGAGCGGATACGATTGAGCCTGAGTTTTATATGAAGTACAATGTTTGCAAAATGTGCATTTAATAAAATAAAAGAAAAGAAAGAAAGATTTTTACATTTTTACAATTGCTTCTTCTTAAAAATGTTTTAGACTCTGAAAAACAGTAACTAGTCTGCTGGAAGGCAGATGCAGGAAGATACAAAACATAATTTAGTAAATCAAACTTTTCGTTTTTGTAGCTGTGAATCTGTGGACGACTCGCCGACCTCACCTAATCTCAAAAGCAGATTTTTTTTGGTGTTTCTTTTAATTAAATTAAACACAGCACACTTGTTCTCATTTAAAACGAGGAGTGAAAGGCAGCACATCTGTTTGCTTTCTGTCCTTTTGCTTACATACAGACATGTATTTGTCCCTCACTGAGGGACAAATAAATAAAGGATTATTATATTTTATGTCAATACTACATGAGATGGTGATTAATCATGATGGGAACACACTGTTATTCAATAATAATGGAAGCTTAATATCCAGAAAAAGAGACAAAAATCCATAAATAATTAGATGATCTGAAACAAATCAAAACCATTTGCTGGACCAGAACAATAAAGCAACAGGAATTGAGAATAAATGACTGAACCAGAGAAATAAATACTTCAGAAAGGTGATACTGTGGACCTGACCTTAGCTCTATATGTCATGTTTCAGGTTTAGACAGGATGTCGGGATAAATGTTTAATAGTTAAACACAAAACATACAGAGATAGAACAAGTTGAACAGAACTAGAAAAACATGATAAACAAGCAAAGAAGAATAGAAACTAGTGAAATGAAGTGGAGAAAAGCAGCATTTCCACTAAAAATATGTCAATACAAATGCTCCAAAAGTACCCAACATCTGTTTTTGTTCAAATAGAAACTAATTTTTCTCAGTATATAGGAATGAATTAATATGAAGACATAAACATGTTAATACATCACTTATGTAAGCTGATGTTTTGCAGATATTTTCCATGTCTGGCCTTGGTTGGTCTGCAGCGTTGACTCTCCAAGATGTTCAGGGATTCCTCACCGTTCTCGCTCACTTTCAGAGTCTGGCTCTGGTGTAGAAATATTCTCCTGAGGCCTTGGGATCTAATGAGATCTAATCCGCTCTCAGACACTACAATGTGTGGCCCCTCTTGCCCAACGACTGCTGGAGATAAGCAGCCACCCCCCATGACCCTGCAAGGATGAGTGGGCATGACAGTGATGGCTGGATCAGACGATGCTATAAAGTTGCTTATCAACTCAGCAAATCAATTCAGGATTAATGACTCACAAAGAGAGAGAAAAAAAAGCTGGTCAGAAAAGGGAAGTAAAAAAAAAGCAAATAAATGTGCAAATCAATCCTCTTAACAGCAAAGACAAATTATTTAATCAATCCAATAATGACATTTTGTCATTATTAATGTTGCCTCTGTGCATTTTTGGTTTACAAAGATAATAATCGTCCAGTCTGAAAACCCAAAAGCTCATAAAATGTCTGCATTGAAATATGTTCTGGTCAATTTGTGACGTTAAACAGCATTTTCTAAGAGCTACACAAGCGAGCTGAGAATCAAAGGTAAATGTACAGACAGCATGAACAATTTGAAGTAGTTTCAGTTTTAGTTATGCAAGGCTCAATATTGCTAAGATTTCTCTCACAAAGGTTTTCTGAAGACATAAGGCGTAACGACGTGACTCAGTGAGGGGGAAAAAGAAGCGGAGGAGGAGCGCGGTCATTTTTTCATCACATTTTACATTGATTGGTTGAAAAATGGAAATAGGCAGTGCTTTCTTTGTCTTGATCTCTTACCTGGAAACCTAACCTGCTCCGAAGCAACGTGAGTTACCCTGGTGACGGATTCAGGTAAGAAGTTAATCCTGCCGTTACAGTTCAGGGGTAAAAACAGTCGTGGTTTAGGTAAGAGTAGAAACTGACCACAGCTGGGAGAGAAACCAGACAGCTGAATATAACTCTCAGGAAGTTCTTATAGAAGAAGCTCAACGACTCTTAAATCATTTGTGTGGGAGCATTTTGTGTTTCCAGGAGGAACAATAACCTTAGATTGATTTATTTGTTTTTATAAAGGGGACAATACATATTAATCAACATGAATACATTGCGTAAATATGCCAGAGCCAAATTAAATCTGTAATCACCTGCAGGTTGATGGAGGAGACTAAAAAGATTTTAATTAAAATGCAAAACAAAATACATGACCTTTGATTTATGACAGACTTCAATGTATAGCTAAAAGTAATGCTATTTACTTTGAACTTTTCTAATTAAGACCGTAAAAAGAAGAACAAAATAAAAATGACTCAAAAAACAAGTACAAGTTTGATTATCTAGTAACTGTAATTGTTTAAAGTATTTTAGAAGTGGTGGAACCAAACCGTGAAGAAATGTATTTATAACTTTGACAAAAAAATAATTGTGTTTTACTCAATTGAAAAACTCAAGCTCATGCAATATTTCACAAATTAGATATTATTTTGATCCAAAGTCTGTGACAGACAAGACATGAACAATAGCATTGCAAATTGTTCCGATGCTGCAGCTATGCTATCATTAGCAGCTGCAAAATGGTGGATGTTGTATTGCAGGCCATGCTTAGTCGAAACAGCGCACAAAGGTATGAAGAGATACAGGGAATTTGGAAAAAGAAAGATTTCAGTTTGAGTTTGTGGCAAAAATAAGTAAAAAGATGCAGAGTAAATAACTTTACTCTGCATGCTAAATTTGATTTTTGAAGTTTTAAAATCTTGTCCCATCTTGTTCTTGAGAGTTTTTGTCATTGTCAAACCCTGAATAGCTAATGAGCTGCATAAATACCAACCTTCTAAGAGTTGCACTGCTAATAGTGACAATAAGTACTATTTTTAATTACTAATTATTCCATGGATACACAAAAGATAAAAGGAAAATCTGCAAAGGAGATGGTAACCGATTTAAATGTAGCTTTAAACATGTTAATACGAGAAAAAGAAATGTTAAATTGGTAGAAAATTAGACAAAGATGGATTACATCGAGAGGACAAAATGGGAAAGTACTAAGGAGGAAATAAAAAGTCTATCCAACTGCAAATGTCAGCATATAAAAGATGTGGAGCGTTACCTGACACGGCCTGTTTTTTGTGTTTTAGTGCATCATAACTCAGGTTTATGGTAAAGGTGTGTCACTACAACAGACTTGAGTGGTGGATTATATTTTTCAGTTATGGATTGGCTGTTTTTCTTTTTTCTTTTTCTTTTTTTTTTTGCTGCGTGGGTTAAATTTTGCAGTTGTTTTTGTTCCACTTTGGAGGAAGTCGTTGACTTTAAAGGACAAACAGAAGAAGAAGAAAAATCCAGCAGAGGGAAACCAACCCCCTAACATCCCTCTCAGGGGAAATCATTGTCTGTCTGGCTGTTCCACCTCTGTATACCAACCCCTCCCTCTCCATCACCAGCAGATTGCTCCGTAACATTGTAGCTGGGGCCAGGGAACAAATTCCTAAATGAAGTTACCGCTGGATGCCGGGGTATTTTTTTCATCTTGTTCTGCGCTCCCAAAGCAATACATCCCCAACTTCCAGCAGCAAAACATGAGGGATGGCGCTCCGCTTCCTCTGCACTCTCTTAAATCTTCTCCCGTTTGATAGGGGAAACAAATAGAGTGCAGCAGACACCCTGGAGGAAGTAAATAAAGACTTGCAGCCGAGCGGAGCTGTCCGTGGTGCTGAAACCCCAGGATGGCTGGGGAGCTGGCCGTGGTCCTGAAATCTGACTGCAGAGGAAAACTCAGCAACACAGATTAGATTCAGCGCCTTCTTGAAATCCACTGGATGAAGAACACAGTTCTTCCTATTAAAAACATTTAAATAATACTGTAAGTATTCAAATAAGATAAGATTGAGATTTGGACATCATAATGTCTTTCTTCTGCACTTTTTAAAAAATCATTATTGTCAGTCCACTTTCCTATTCTCAATTCAGTTTAACTGAGTTTCTTCTTATTATTGTAAAGGACATACAGCAGGTTAAATTAGACTTGAATACGTAACAATTTCTCTCAGTAAAAGTTTATCTAAACTACACAGTGAAAACAATAATTTGGTTTAGTTAGCCTGGCATGAAGGATAAATGTAGGGGATTCATTTAATATTTTCACCATGGTTTTTCTGTATTCGTCATTGTCTGAGATCCAAACTAAATATCTAATTCTCAAGGAAAATGTTTATTTTACAAACTAAAGATTTAAGTTTAATATTGAATATTTGGTTAGGAAGCTAAACGTTTACTTTGGAAAATAAACATATATTTCCCAATTAAATATGTAATGTGGAGCTCAATATTTAGTTTTGCAACTCATTTAGGCTTCAAACTATTTAGCACAGACTTAAATATTTAGCTTGGAGCTAAATATTGAGCTTCCATTATTAAAGTAGTTTTTCTGTTGTAGATTAAACTACTTCAAATTATATTTTTGTATGTAACAAATATGAAGTTTGTGAAAACTAAATATTTACAAAGTACAAATAAATATTGCATCCTCTACTCTTTTATTAGGATGTAAATATTTAGTTTTCAAGATAAATAACTTAGTTCAAACTTAAACATTTAGTTGGGAAGTAAATATTTCATTTGAAAGCTAAATATTTTTATATATATATATATATATATATATATATATATATATAACTAAATATTTGACTTATCAATGAAATATTAGTTTGGAACTCTATTAATAAATATAGGAATAGTAAGGTGACAATATGACTTTGAGAAATTAACACTCAGACTAATAAACCAGTTTTACTACATTACAAATGGATGCCATACTAAAGATGCTGTTGATATCAAATTTTCTCCAGGTGTTGCTAACAAACCAATTAATCCACAGGTGTAAAAGACACCAAAATAAATAAGTTCAGAAATTAAGTTATGTTTATTCATGTGAATGCCACAGGGAAAACGTTTTTTAAAAATGGTTTCGTTTTCACTACCGGCTTATTTTTCTTCCTTTGTCAGCTGAGAAATTTATCCCAACAGATCTGCTAAATTTGTAAGTATATAGCAAATGTTATGGCAGGCTGGAAAAAATGAGACGTGTTTGTTATTTATTTATTTTTTAATGTAATCAGCTCATGGCCCCAAATTGGTCTTCTTTTGTTTGCTATCCTTTGAGGACTGTTCCCACTCTGCTTAGTGCGAAGCCATGTTGGCTTTATTGTTGTTTTGTTGTGATAGAGTAATTAAATTTCATTCCAGAGAGGCCGGCACTCCCCCTGTCTGCTTGTTTGTCTCTCTGCACTGGATGTTGCAGCTCCTGTCTCAATTCCCCATTCATTGCTTTGGCTCATTTCAGGCCTGCACAGGGAACCATATGGAAACATGAGTGAGGTTTGATTCCAGCTGTATTTAGAAAGGAGCATCTGTCTCTTTTAACAAAATCATGGAGATTTCACCCAGAAGTCCAATTCTCATTGACTGAGATTGATGTTTGCTGTTTGACTAATGAAATGCTGATTGTTGTTGAGTATGACATGAAGCTGACATGTCAATGTTTGGCTTCTCGTCAGATTGCTTTGATTATGTTTTAACTTCTTCAAGCAGTAAGATATTCTGTAGACCAAATAACGATTCTGTTTGCTATATCTGTCTGTTTGTTTTCTTTATCAATCTACTCGGGTGGTTTTCTCCTTCGATGTTGGTAACGGCCCACTGGAAGTTCAGGTCGAGTCGATGGACCCCTGAATGACAACCGATGGCATCGAGTCCGAGCCGAGCGAAACATCAAGGAGGCGTCGCTTCGACTGGACAACCTGCCTGTGGCGACGCAGGAGGCGCCGGCTGACGGACACGTCCACCTGCAGCTCAAGCCAGCTGTTCATCGGTGAGGAGCGTTGCTTCTGTTCATTTACAGACAAATGTCTTTTAGGTTTGTCCTCTCAGGCTTCCTGCATACTGAAATGTTTTCTTATTCAGTTTAAGACTATTTTATATAACAGAATTTTTAGTTACAATAAAAATTCAATGGTTTTCTTTATGCAATACTTTTGAAATTATCTTTAATTTACATTATATGCTTTAATGTAATCCTAGATCAGGGTTGTTCAAAGTGCAGCCCTGAGGTCATTTCTGGCCCTTTGAAGGATTTTGTTGACCCCTGACCTCAATGCAACTACAGGTGGTTGATGCAAATGGACTCTTTTTCATCTTACAGAGCAAGATGTTTTACAGGCAATTAAAAAAAAATATGAGGTAAATTCCCATTTAATGACAACTTTTTTTCATTAATCTTGGGTTTGGAGTAGCTAGAACTAGAAACGTCGACCAACTTTTACTCAAACGCAACACATTCAGCCCAGAAGTCAAGAACTTTGGGTCTGTCTTATGATAACGCAATTGTGCAAAACCATTTTTTTATGTTTTGTATCAACAGTGATTTAAAATTTTACATGATTAGTGAGTATTAGTGATACTTTTTTTTAGAGCCAAAGGAATGAAAAAGAGTGTACAATACACATCTCACTATGCACACATACTAATCAACACAATACTGATGAAACATTGCACAAGAAGGAAAATTATATCCCAGCAGTTTCAGCCCTTTTTTCAACAGAAAGAAAAGAAAAATTGAACAATAATAATAAAAAAAATCATTTTGTTTGACTCTGCTGTTTAAGCCTGTTAGTATTACAGAGCTTTTCTGTTTGGCTTGCAGAAGAAACTGTTCATAGTGAATAGGAAAGTGCTGAAGTGAAGCTTTCTGATTGCTAAATGACATCCAGCAGTAAACCTACCGCCTGGAAAACGCATCAGGATGAAAACAAATTGCAGCCTGTGTGTTGTTTACAATATTTTTATGGTTATGTAAATTCCTTTCAAAGACGCTGAGATGCTGCATGGTTTACGAGGACTGCAGGTTATCTCAGTTCATTTCACATTCTGCAATCCAATCCTGCTGATAGAGTTGGAGCCAAAAGTAATGAAAATCCATCATTCATTATCAGTTTTAATCAATCAGTAATATTTTGGGCATCACTTCTTATCAGTGAATCCAAACTTGAAGCAAAAGGACCAAACAGTGAAATTGGACAAGGGAGCAGCAGTGAAATTGTGGAGGAATATTAAATTGTCCTATAAATGTATTCAGCAACCTGCTGAATGTCAGCAACCTGCTGAATGTCCCACCAGCAACCTAAAAACGACAATTAACGACTTCATCAGATCTGCTTGGAAGAAAATATGTCTGGATATCAAATTGAGTGAGATGTTTTTTGGAATTTTATTGCAGCATTTAGAGCTCAGTGTTTACATATTTATAACTCGTATTAATGCTTAACCAGGCGTCCATTTGTATGCATTCGCGTTCATGTGCCATAATTCTACCTTTAACAGGTTTCGAGCAGCTTGTATTTCTGTGAAACATTTTAACGAACACAGAGACGTTAAAATGTCACTGTGTCCATGAAAATGTTAACTTCTGTTTTCAACTGGCTGAATGTTTATGTTTTGGAGCTGCCATTCTCAGTCCAGACCTCAATAACTCTGAGATAATATAAAAAATATTATCATTAAAATTCCTGTGGCAGCAATCAAACAGCTTTCCAGAAAATACAGTAAAACAAGTGTCTTTGCTGTACAGCTGATAAAGACTTTTCTATTAAATAATTTTCAAATAAAAACTCCTTGTTTGATGATGAATCCAGATTCATGTGGGGTACGAGCAGCTTTGGTCTTAACCTTTTGCTACTTGATTATTTCTGTCATTACCTGAAGTTGACAACATTTCAAACATTTAAATTTAAAACCAAAAGCAAGTTTTATAAAAAATTATTTCTAAATCTGTTTCTTTAACCCACACCGTGTAGATTTAACATCTTAACAATTTGTTCGCTGCTGTTTTAGGTATTTTGTCACTTTTTTTCCCTCCATTGATTTTCACTCAGTTCATTCTTCAGTTTTACACTTTAAATGAGACAAAATTTATGTACAAATAATGAAATGTAAAGTAATGAAAAAGTTCTAGATCACAGGCAAATTATTTCACTTAAAACAAATGAAATAATCTGCCAGTATAAATAGAACTTTTTCATCAATGAGACGACAATACTTTGTAAGATTTTGCAGTGAATGGCAAAACTATACATTAATTGAAACCATTATTGCCCTATTTTCTTATTATAACCCTATTTTTTTATAAAGTTTGTTCAACTTCTGCAAAATAGAACATTTTCATTATTGTTAGGACCAATAATCTGTTGTTTCCCACTTAAAAATATGAGCCTTTAGATGCATTCAGTGCTAGCCTGAAGTTTGAAAATGTGCTTAATGATATGTGTCAATTCTGAAACATATGTAAACAGTTGTTAGAGGGAAACAAAAATGTTGCAGAAAATGAGTCAAACTGGTTAAAAAGCAGAACATGAATTCTTGGTGGTTTCCAGTCTCCTGCATTCATCAGCTGCATACTGATGAACCCGTCTGCAGCTGAAAATATGCAATAGACAGACATAAGGAAAGCAGATTAATGTTGTCTTTGAATGCGCCTTTCCACCTACAGCCTGTTGCTATTTCTGTGTTTGTATTTGACAATTTGATGCTTCTGGAGGAGCTGATGTGACATGTGGGTTTGTTGTAAATGTCAGGTGAAATAAATAGAAAACCAACGGGAAAGACAAATGCAGGCTTTTGAGCTCAGGTAGCAATAATTGAGACTCTTGAGCAAAGATGACAGACGGAAAAAGTAGCTCTAACATACTTTTGTCCTTATTTTCCAATTTCACACGGCTGAGCCACTTACACCGGCTTCTCTCCTCGTGTGATTTCAGGAGGCACGGCGTCCAGGCAGAGGGTTTCAGAGGCTGCATCCGCGCTCTGCAGCTGAACGGTGTTACTCTGGACCTGGAGGAAAGGGCAGAGATGACGCCTGGCGTTCGGCCCGGCTGCCCGGGTCACTGCAGCAGCTACGGCTCGCTGTGCCAGAACCAGGGCCGCTGTGTGGAGAGAGCCGCTGGCTTCCACTGCGACTGCAGCCTGTCTGCTTACACTGGAGTTTTCTGCCAAACAGGTGAGACCCATGTTAAATAAAACTGGGAACAAATGTCTAAAACATGTTGATCTACTTTCTAACTGGAATAAAGCCTAAACATATAAAACACTAGTTAGTTAAGCCTCCACAATTCAAGGTAATATAGTTTTGATTTTAATTATTTTTAAATCTTGTCTTGAGGTTATTGTATTTGAATCAGTGACTTTTTATTTGTTTTGTCATTTTTATGTTTTTTTTTTACATTTTGAAGTATTTTGCACCAGGCCATTTTGGCTACTTTCACACTGCAGCCTGAAGCGAAAAACTAATTCTGTAGAAAACTGAAGCCATTGAAATGTTAAAGGGGCTCAAAACACATTCTTTTTAAATCTGTTTATTTAGTTAACTGGATAAATCTCATCTATTGGATAATTATTCACATCTCATGCAGAGATCTGAGCTGCTCTTATTGCTGTTTTATCGTTTTGTTGATCAGCAAGGAACATTGAGAGTTTGAAAACCACTCAGATGCTCATATTGGAGAAAATACTTCACTAACTCTCACAAGACTCTGGTTAAAATATAAACTTTTAAAAAAAAATTCCAAGTGTCTTCTGACATTCATCGTGTACAATTCAACAGAAAATGCATGAAAAGGTGCAACAACCTATTTGGAAAGCAGTCCACACACCTAAACTAAGAAATTCTTAATTGAACTGCATTTTGAGCATTTAATATTCATTAGAAACTTCCTGTAAATCAACATTTAGATGAATTGTGCAAATATTTGTAGTTTTTTGTGTTCCTCTAAAATGTCTCCAGCACAGAAAGCAGCTTTCATATTTTTTACATTTCTATGGATAAGAAAGTTTCATGTTAGCATTTTTGCCATGAGGAGTTGAAACTACATCTGTTTGTTTTGTTGACATTAAATGTGAAGAAATAATTGAACTTCCTGTAAGTTGGAACCAAGGAACCAAGTTGGAACCAAGGATAAAACTTGGTTTCTTGTCACACAAGAAAACACTGCATTTGACACATTTTCTTAAAACTGACCCACTGCTTTTTCTATTTAGATCAAATAACCTAATTAGAAGTTTAAGGTCAACTTCTGGCTTATTGTTTGGAATGATAGTAAACATTGTGTGTTATAAATCATGAGGAAACCTTGAGCAGTGTTTCATGTTTTTAAACCATGACAGGTTTTGTTCTCAGCTTCAGTGTGGGTGTTTTAAAGGTTAAGCATCTATATATTTCCACACAACCTTTTTCTGTGTTTGCAACACTTAACACTCATTTGAAAGCATTTGGATACCACATGAAATCAAAAGTTCAGCAAATCATAATCCTGTTTCAGGAGGAAAATGCCACCCCAGTGAAATCTGTTTGGGTTCAGCGGGTTCAGACACTGCCAGAGTTCCATGACAACTTTCTTCTCACCAACAGTGATGGATTATAATCTGACCGTTTCCTTTGTAGAGCTGTCAGCCAGTTTCAAACCTGGAACGTCGATCAGATACACCTTCAAGGAGCCGTACGAGTTGACCAGAAACAGCAGCGCTCTGCCGTCCTCCATCTACTCCACACGACGCTGACAGGAGAAAACGTCTCCCTGAGTTTCAGGACGGCTCAGAGTCCGGCTCTGCTGCTTTATGTCGGCTCTTACTACAGAGAGTACATGGCCGTGCTCATCAACAAGCACGGTGAGAAAGCTTCAACTGCAAAAGCACAAAATATCACCAAGGATTTTTGGTCTAGTTTCCTCTGCAGATATATCAGTAGTAAGCGGGTGCAACAATTTCTTTAATTTTGCAGTTGACAGTAACAACTGTTGTCAACTGTGTGACTTTCTTGCAATGTCGAGCAACATTTAAGAGAAAAAAAACTCGATATTGGCCAAAATCACAATTGGCAAATCGGGCTTTTTAAAAATCTGTAATCAGCCAGAAATCAGTGCATTTTAACTTAGTTTAGTCTTTTTTCAAGTGCACTAACTTAAAAGTAACTTTTCAGCAAAATATAGGAGCTTGTTTAAGTCAGTAATTTCTTAATATTGATAAAAAAGTGTTATCGTATTTCACTCATAACTGGACATTTTCTTCATGTTATAAGTGAAATAATCTGCAAATGGAATTAGTATTTCTGTCTTTTTTGTCTTATTTCTGCTGAACTAATGCACTCGAATACATTGTACTAAAGACTAGACCAAAAATACTTGGTCTTTGTGGTTTTGTAATTATGTCTGAATAAAATTTGACTTTAGTGGATAAATGTTTGAATCCTTTTCACCATGAGATGCTCGTCATCCAACAGCTGATTTTCTGAATTTCTCAGCTTTCTCTCCTTTTCTCCCACTCAAGTTTTCTCATCTCCTCCTTTAATGTCTTACCCTCTTTCTGCAAGCCTTGTTATTTCCTCAGGAATGTTTCAGATTCTGCCCCTCATCTGGGTTTACCTCATTTTCATCAGTACAGCTTCACCAGCTGTTATGTTGTGCTTTTATCACGGAGACACCGTAAACAGTGCTGCTGAAATGGGACTTTGTTCTGCTGCTAATAGGTGATAGATCAGGGAAATGTTGAATAAAAAAGCCACAGACTTTGTTGGATAATTACGTTGTACCTTTTAAGAGTTGAAGTAGTGAAACTTTGAACTTAGAATTACATTTTCAACATCCAGGAGTCTTGGAAAATTGGCACTTTGCACCTAGATTAGCTTTAAATAGATTCTTTCTCTGGTCCTAATGACTCAGAAGCTAATAGGAAGCAGGGCATTAAGGTTCTGCGCTGGCCGAGGATTCACCAGGTAAAGGCTTTTAATAGAAAGCGTCCATGTAAATCCCGAAGCGCTTTCTTTCACCTCCTCTGCACCGTTTTTAACCATTTTTAATCCTGGACAAAGAATTTCCCCCTTCTTTTTCCTTCTCTGTGACAAAGTGATTTCTTCTCTCTAAACTGTGAAGAAAAACCTCAATAAATCTTAATCCTGAACTGTTTGTAATGGGATTAATCATAATAAAAATTGTAATAAAGTAAACATGTGCGCATTACAAGGACAAGGTGCAATTCATCCTTTCTAATCTTAAAGCCTCCAGAAATTATTCTTCCACTGAGTTCACTCCTAATGCTCTCAATATTATAAAAAAATTATTAGATTTAGAATTATTTTATAAATAGGGACTTACAACTAATCCTCTTAACATGAAAAGCTCAGATACTCATCATTCTGATTCATTGCTGAGGTGAAAAGGGCATCTGCAAACTGAGGTGAAGAGATTAAGGAACAAAGACGAGGCTATTTTCACCAAGAAGTTTAAATTGAGGTGGAAAAAATAAACTTTTTTTGTGTGTTTAGATAAGCTGGAGGTGAGATACAAGCTGGAGGGCAACCGAGACGCTGAAGTTGAGGAGCAGCAGCACGAGGAACCTGGCCAATGGACAGCTGCACAGCGTTACCATCAGGAGACTGACACACACCGTGTCTGTGCAGGTGGCTGTGCACACGGGAGACGCTTACACTGCAAAAACACATCATCCTCCCGAGTAGTTTTGGTCTAATTTCTAGTGCGAATATCCTATGATACTCAAAATAAGACGAAACTAACTTACAAGTAACTTTTCAGCAAAACATAGCTTGTTTTAGGTCAATAATTCCTTAATGTTGATGAACATTAAGGACTCTGCTAGCTCCATTAGCAGATTTCACTTTAACCAGACATTTTTCCCAATTATAGGTGAAATAATTTGCCAATAGAGCCAGTGCTATTGGCAGCAGAGCCTGTAGCTCTTATCTTTTTAATAATCTGAACACACCAATGAATTATTGTCATTTTGTGGTGAATATCACTCCATTGAAAGGTTTCCTTAAAATGTCAAGTTTGATTAAAAAAAAAGAAAGAATGATTAGATTTTGCATCTGTTTTCGTCATAAAGAAATTTGTGAAACCAGTCGAAGCTCGGTGCGTTTCTGTCTCACCCGGCAAACGAAGCCACTGGCTTAATTGTTGCCGTCAGCTCCATCGTTAGTGTGGAGTTGCCGAGCTTTAAGGCATTCAGACGAGATGAGACAAGAAAATATATGGTGTGGTCTCCATGGCAACGAGACAAGAGGTCCACTTTACTGTTGGAAAAAATGAAAATCCACGTTTTGCCCTTTCACAAACACACACCATTTCTTTTAAGAAAATAGCGATCTAAGTTTATGTTGCTGTTTATTTCTCATAATGAACATGAAATACTCCTAAGATTTCTATGGATTTCTTTTCCATAAAGCTGTTTTTTTATCACTTATCCCTTGTCCTTAATGCAGACATCTGGTCGCTGTATAATCACAAAAAAATATACAAACATTTTCATGAGTATAAAGGATTTACGTAAATCAAGCCCCTAAATCTTGCTGACACACACAATCTTACAAAGTATTTTTGTCTAATTTGTTGTGCAAATATCTTAATTCACTTGAAATGAGACAAAACTAACTTATAAGTAATTTTCTGCAAGAAGCAGGAGCTTGTTTATGGTCAATAAATCCTTAATATTGATGAAAAGTATTTGTTTCATTGGCAGAATATTTCATTTACAAGATGGGAAAATGTTTTGTAGATTACAATAAATAATCTGCTAGTGAAACTACAACTTTTTAAAATCAATATTAAATAATTATTTGCTTAATAAAATCTTCTATATCTTTCTGAACAGTTATTTGTTAGTTGGCTTTATCTTAATTCAAGTATATGAAGATATTTGCACTAGAAACTAGACAGAAATACTGAGCTGCTCTTAGCAATCCCCAAAACCAGCATAGAATCGTTTTATGTTATGACTGCAGGCCTTAAGGGAACAAAATACATCAACCAACTAATTAAATTACACTTCAAATGAAATATGAAGTACGGTAATCTTATCTGGATCCAACAACTCTCCCAGCTTGTTCACAGCAGCCGAGTTTGATCTATGAGGACGGCACTTACAGCCAGGAGTCACAAGCCTGAATGTCTCTTTAATTATAAACAATGTGAGATAAAATACAAGGTGACCTCATCCTGATTCGGCGTGTGTGAGGCTGCAATGAAATATGAAGTGCGTTTCGTTGTGTCTGCTTCCATCATCATGAATCATTGCTTTGTTATCAACACGCTCTGAGGAAGCAGGGCAGGTTTCGCTGAGGGTTTCATGCAGCCGTTTCCTGATGGCCAGCAGTCTCTCAAGTGGACAGAATCATCTCCGCCGCCCTGACCTCGTAAAAATGACCCAGTAAAGGCGAAATCGCTCCAGCAGTATGTTGCATCGTCGAGTTCTGGCTCTTATCGGGGCTCCCTTTGTTCGCGATTCTTTTGGGTTTTACAGACGGTGTTTTATTACAGCTGGAAAGCAGTAAATCAGACTGACAGGGAGCGAGAAATAAAGTCCTGGTCTCAACGTAAGGAGCGCTTCATGTTCAGACTGCCAAATACAAGCAAACCAGGAACATGGAGCTGGTCAAATAAATTCGGTAACGGTAAAGTAAAACAAGCTTTATCCAACTGGCTATAAGTGGCATTGCTTGTAATAATCAAATTAAACTTTAAACGGGATTTCACACAGTTACTGCATGAGTTAATCAATCAATCGCATTTATTTGCATCGCACATTCCAGCAACACGGCAGGTCAAAGTGCTTTGCATGAATTAGAAGAAAAGCAAAATAAAAGAAAAAACAGGCACAGCAAACGAAAAGCTGCACTTTAAAATGTTCCAAGTGTGGTTGCATTTAATTGTTAGTATGAACCACCATGAAAAAACAAAAAAGCATTTCAGCAAAGAATCAGAAGTGAGCATCAGGACTGTTAGATGATTTGATATTAAAAAAATTTAGTACAGAATTTAATCTACAAAGATGAAGCCATTTGACATGGGAAGTTATGTCAGATAGAAAAAAAAAAAACAGTTGGAAAAAGGCCCACAGCATCACACCTCCATTACTATACTACACAGTGGGCTTTGGGTGCTTTCCCAGACATCAAACCTTTGTTTTAGTTCAGACCAATCTGGGTTTTTTTCTTTAGTTAACAAAGAGCTCAAGTAGGTGTAGAAAAGTTCATATTTTGAAGTTTGTGTTGGTAGAGAAAACAGGCTTTGTCCTGACAATGTGTGCTAAACAGGTCATGTTGGTATTTAGATGTTTGCTTTAATGGTTGTTAAAAGTCTTACGGGTCATTTTGAAGAAGCACAGATCAAAAAGTGCCATTAGCATTGACATTAACGGCTTCACCTGAAATGCTTTTCAGTTTCTGACAGCTCTGACATCGCAGGTATGGCTGGGAATTGGTGAAATCAAAGAACAATGCTTTCTGTGCTTCACATCACATCTGAAAGTTGGTTTTAAAAACTTTTTGTGGATTTTATACAGCTGAGAATCTTAAGATTTCAAGCAAAGGCAAAAGAAATTTCTGTAAAATTCTCACAATAACTTAATTAAATATTAATTTACATGTCATGCTGGAAAATTATGAATGTTTGATTTCCACGTAGATAAAAAGGGGAATATAAAATGATCCTTAATTTTGAACTTTACAACATGAAACTGTTTAGAAGCATTTTCTCCAGATAATTTTCCCAGGAAACGTCTGGAATGATTATTAATTATAAATTTGGTTTTGTTGAGTTGAGGCTATTAAACTGCTCTGCAAAAACACAAAATCTTACCAAGATTTTTTTTTAAAATGTTATTTAGTTTCCAGTGCAAATGTCTTAGTAAACTTGAAATCTTGTCCAAAAACATTCAACAAGATTTTGTGTTTTTGCAGTGTGCACATACAGAAATGTTTATGAAATATACCCATAAAACTACATTCAAATCTCTTTTTTTCCCCATTAGGTTGACCAAAATGCCAAAGAAAACTTCAACCTCACGTCTGACGGAGAGTTTAATGCCATCAAGTCGCTGGTGTTGGGCAAAGTGCACGGTAAGCGAGGAGGCAGTGAGAGCAGAAAGTAGATATTTTTGGCTTTAAAGCACTCAGACTTGTTCGCTCTCCTCCAACACTCAGCATGTTCACTTTCACAATAATAAAAAAAAATTCTGGACTAAATGCATTGTTTCTGCCCCTAAAAAATGCTCAAAAGTCTTCTTCACATCAGCTGGTACTGATTTCTTTCATATCATATTTTCACTAATTATTAAAAATCAACAATATTCAAAAGTTTCTTGCAGTTTGATTGAAAAAAAAAAACCATAGTTGTTCAGAAATTTCATGTTGTTTCTGAAGAAACGTTTGTTGTGACTCAACTTCCATCCTTATCGCTACAACCAGTCCCTAATAAAGAGTCTTTGACGAAACCGCCTGGTGCCACGGAAATGAAACGGTCAAATTTGTTGTGCTTTTCCAAAAGTTACAGCAGAGTTACAGCTCAGAACCTTTAGAGTCTTTAAAAAGCGAAGTTGGAGTTAAAAAGTACATTTCTGCTCCATATTATTAGATAACTCTCAGGTCTGGGTTGATAAGGAAGTTGCTGCCTTCAGAGCAAAATGTCTCACATCTGCTGCATTATGTGTTCAGAGCAGGTGGGGAAGGCGACTAGAGTAGGACATATGTGAAGCACTAATGTACAGAAAGGAGCAAAAAAATGGTTTGAGTCAAGATTATGATACTATAATAAAAAAACTACCTGCTTCCTGACCTGATTACAATCCAAAATGCCTAACTAAAGTCCTACACTGCAAAAACATTTAATCTAATGAAGTATTTTTGCTTAGTTTTTAGTGCAAATATATTATCACACTTAAAATATAAATAAATAATCTGTAAAGTAATGTTTCAGCAAGATATATGAGCTTGTTTTAAGTCAGTTATTCTTAATATTGATGAAAAAGTTCTACTCAGGTATGTGGTTGTAAGGTGAATTTTTAATTTAAAAAAATGGTCAAGTGGAAAAATGTCTTGCTATAAGAGAAAAAAATCTGCCAGTAGCACCAGTGGAACCCACTCTTCATAACCCTATTCAATAATTATTTACTGGAAATATAATCTATATCTTGCTGAAACATTACTTTTAGGTTAGTTCTGTGTCAAATAAGATATTTGCACTAGATGTTAGACTAAAGCTTTTGGTAAGATTGTGTGTTTTTGCAGTGTAGATTCTGCAGATAATTTAAGTTCTGCTAATGATCATGTCCTGAGGTGACTCTCCCCTTCCTAGGCTGTGTGAGCAATCCTGGACCAAACCAATACGTACAAGTTCATACAAACACAGGATTTTTTTTCTGAAAGAAAAACATAACATATCCATTACAAGACAGGGTCACATAAAACCCATAGTTGCACTCGGGGGCAGTGCTAAGAACCGTTTTAACACTCTGGTCACGATGCAACAAGCCTATTTACCTGGCAACAGCGCGTCATAAACTCCATGCTGGAGTCACTGGAGAGTGTGAGGAGGGAGTGTGTGAAGTCATTGTGTGCAGAAAAACCCTCTAAACATGATTTTTAAAGAACATTTCTCTCTTCTTTAGTCAGTTCTTCCTTCTTTGTTCTGATGTTTTTATAACACTGAACAAAAATGCAGTAAGAATGAAAGAAAGCAATATTTTTTTAACTTCCTTGGAGCTTGCCATGTTAGTTCATTTTTGCTAGTTTATGAGTCCCAGTTCATCTTTGTGTTTCCATCTACCTTAAAATTGCACAAATTGGAATCACGATGAGAAATTTGCTTAATGGAAACACGGCAATTTTAAAATAAATATCTTTTGGGCTATCAGAGTTTTGTGGATTTTTCTAAACTGTAATGGAAAAACTTTTTTTTTTGCATCACTCCGGTTTGTAAATGAGTATTAGGACAATGCTCATAAATAAAATAAATTAAACTCTGAGAATAAAGTACATTAGAAGAATAAAGAAATAATAAGAGCACATTATGACTTTATTCTGTTAGACTTTTCTGGTTTTGTTACAAACTTATCCTCATATTATTTTGATTTCGTTCTCATATTTTTATGACTTTATCCTGTTCTTGTTTTCTTACTATGGCCCTATTTCTCCACTGTAGTAGACAGCAGCTTATTTGGACTTTGGAACGTTCTGCACTTGGGTCCTTTTCATGACTTTTCAACAATTTTCCAAAACTCTAAAACCTTCAAAATGTTTTCTGCGTTTGTTCAATCAAGCTGAAAACCACTTTTATAGGTGGAAATTAGCTCAGAAGAAGAATGATGTTTGGAGAAAATAGACATATTAAACAGCGATCAATTTTTTTTTCCCTTATTGCATGAATTTTAAATAATCTTCAGTGAAGGCTGATTCATTTTCTGAAAGAACAAGAAAACGTTCCCAGATGCCTGGAGAAACAAAAGGACGCCATCCTGCTCTGGCTGCTCTGCTCTGTACAAAACTTTTCTTTTTGTGTCAAGTCCAGCAACGTGTCAGGATTTAACATGGGCCTGGTTACTGCTATGGCAGGGGCTGATGAGGACTTTCTGCCCTGGAGTTTTTCAAAATGCATTGCCTAAAGATTTTTAGTTTTAAAGCAAAAGATCAATTCTCTTTGTTCTTGCAAACTATATGCAGACCTTAAGTTCCCATGTTGCACAAGGATGCATATGGCTAAAAGAGAGACTTTATGTCGGTAGCGAAAGGTCTTAGCCAGTAGAGTTTATCCAATTTAAGAGAAAAAACTTTAAATAAAGATACATTTAAAATGCATTCATAATGAATACAGGAATGCTTAAATCCCTGCAGTTTAGGGTGAAAATTTATGCATTCCAGATCAATAAAAGATAAAATTAAAATTAAAATGAAAAAAATTGTGGTTCTAAAGATTTTAGTTATTGTGAAACTGGTTGCAGATGAGTCTGATTTTACCACTTTCATGCTACATTGTAAAAACATGGCACTTCTATTCTATGCACTGAAAAAACACAAAATCTTACCAAGTATTTGTTTTCAATTTCTAGTGCAAATATCTAAGTACACTTGAAATAAAACAAAACTTACAAGTAACTTTTCAGCAAGAAATTAGATTATTTTAAGTCAAAAAGTCCTTAATATTGCTGAAACATACTAGAAGTTAAATATTTTTAATTATTTTAAGTTATAGTATTGTTCCACTGGCAGATTATTTCACCTATAACTTTTTCATCAATATCGACTTAAAACAACTTCAGATATCTTATGAGTTAGTTTTGTCTTTTTTTCAGGTGGACTCAAACACCAAATATTTGGTGAGATTTAGTAGTTTTGAAGTGTGTTTTAGCATATCGGTGCCAAGCTGAATGAAAATTGTGACACAGGAAGTAAAAATGTGAGGTTGTCACCCATTTCAACCTGCTGAAAATGTATTGGTTGTGTTTGAGTAAAGTTTTTGATGAAAGCAGTTGAAATGCTTTTTAAAAGCACCAATCCGTGTGTTAGCTTCAGCTGAAACATTGCCACATGATCCAGGTTTAGCAAAATGGACTTTTAAAAGCAGGCTTGGGCATCGTTTTAGAGGCTGGTGAAATCTGTTTGCCACTCCGTTTTGCACTTCTTGCCCTCCCAATATAACAAAAATAAAAAGCATGGTATGTAGCCTCTGGGTGATGCATTTAGAGAATTTGGATTTTTGTACTTCTCATATGTGCATAAGTGTTTATTTCTTTGCATTATTGGAAATAGTTGGGAATATGTGATGTTTCATTGCTATGATTTATCCACCTAAATGTGCATTTGAAGACAGGGAATTGTAAAAGGCTCAGGGTGACAAGAGTAATAGGGAGCACGTCATGATTTATTCATGTTTCCTTTAAGCGGCTCCTTCAAAGAGCGTCTGAAATATAAGTTGCAAATAACATGAGGGGCTGAGAGGCCGCAGCCTTCACCCAGACTGTCACTTTAAAGAGTATCGCCCATTTATTTTAGCTTTATCTGAACAGACTGTCATTATTGTTGGAGAATTATACATTTCACTAGTTTGTCTGAGTTGAATGTAAAATTAGGATTGTTTTCTTCTTGCAGAACAGATTGAGAAAAGATCTACAGGCTGCATGGTTGTGTCGTTCTTAGCACTGTTGCCTTGAAGCAAGGAAGTCGTGGGATTGTTCCGCATGAAATTTGCTTTTAGTCCCCATAAATATGTTAGTTTTCTCAGAGTACTCTGACTTCCTCCCACAGTCCAAAAACACAACACTTAGGTTAACTGGTTGCTCTAATTGCTTCTCGATTTGAATGTATGTACGGTTGTATTTTTTTTTCCAGAGTTGGGTAAGAATAATATAGTTATATAGTTGCATTATGGTCTAATTTCTAGTACAAATATCTTAGTACAGTTGAAATAAGACAAAACTAACTTACAAGTATGTTTTCAGCATGATGCAAGACCTTATTTTAAGAAAAATAATTTTTTAATATTGATAAAACGTATTAATTCTCCTGGCAGATTGTTTCCCTTCTAGCATGGAAAAATGTCTTGCTTTAAATTGAACAATCAGCTCTTGGAACTAGTTTTTTCTCTTAATCAAAATTAAGGAATTATTGACTTAAAAGAAGCTACTACATCATGCTGAAAAGTTACTCGTAAGTTAGTTTTATCTTAATTTAGATGTACTAAGATATATGCACTGTGTGTTTTCAACAGGATTTTTTTACCACATCGTGGAAATAATTGATTCGTCCTTTAAAACACCCTAAGTGGTACATTTTTAATAAAATTTACAACAGCTCTATTTCAGGTAACTTAATAAATCCTCGTTTTATTGCAGTCTGGTGTAAAACTCGGGTTTGTTGTCACACAGCTGAACGAGTGCGGCGCGTTTCAACCCTGTCATGTCGACGCATAACCTGCTGTCCACTCTGTCAAACCGACAGAGGCAGAGACTCTGATCAGAATCAGAAAAAGCAGCGGCGAAGTGGGTTTCCCGTCGCTTCCCCCCAGCCTCGTCATCCATCAGGCTAACTAATGGAGCCAGAAGGAACACAGGGAGGCTGGGAGAGACGTGATGTAGCGAGCAAAGCAACAGCTGAAAGGCGGCTGTAATGTTTCCTCATCAACATGCAGATGTGTTCAGGTAACAGTCAGCTCTCAGTCATGTGATGCAGCTGTTTGTCGGCTTTAGCAGCTGCTGTTTACGCTGCAGAGAGGAGTTCAGATGAGTGATGGAGAGGATGGAGTCGGTGAAATTAACAGATAAAGGCAGAGAGGGAAGATTTGTCTCAACATATGATGAATACAGGTGGAAATTGGAAGAATTGAAGGCCGATGATGAATTAAAGATCTGCCAGCATTGATCTCATTTATGTTCCAGGAGCAGAGTTGGCCACTAACTAGTTACATTTACTTAATTACATTTACTTGAGTAACATTTTAAAAATTACTTCTCGGGGTATTTTTAGTTGAGTGATTTTATTATGAAGTATTTCATCTCTTCCTTGAGTAAAATTTCCAAATTTTCTTCCCTCTGGATGAAAAACAAACATGTTTCGACCAAAACTTCACTCAGTTTTTGTTAAAGTTTTATAAGTTTTATGTTGAAAGAAATTAATTTGGAAACATTTTCTTTAGCCTGAATTTATATATTTTTTGAATTATTGTCATTTTTGTTCTCATAAAACCAAAATTTCCACTTATTTTGGTTTATCTGATTATGTACTTTTTAAATATTGAATGATTTATTTGACCAGTTACTTAGCACTAGTGTATACTTTTTACCAAATGCTGTTTTACTCTTACTTCAGTCATTTCTTGGACAGTTACTTTTTACTTTTACTCGAGTACTTCTACATATTTTCAGGTAAAATATGTAGAAAATATGTAGAAGTACAGCTACTCCTACTTGAGTTAAAATTTTTGGGAACTTTGTCCAGGAGCAGCTAAATAATCTTCCAGTTTTCAGTTAGGACAACATCCATTATTTCCACAATGCAGAGAAACTAAACACCAGGAATATTCTGTGCATTTCAAAAGCATTCGTATCACTTTTACTGTTTTTTTAAATGCCATGTTACAACCACTGCAGCATGCAATTTTAGTAAAAAAAAATTTGTGACAGTGTAATATGAAAAAGATAATATGTGAAAAAATTTATTTCCTCCACCTGCTTCCTCCCCGTGTTGAAGAAATTCACTGCCACAGGTCAAAAACAATCAATTAGAGCCAGGAGGAGGGTTTTAGCGCTGTCAATCAAGCTTGTGAATGCACTGCTAAATGTGTAGAGGTGGAGAAATAGCTCACCATCAATGGTGGCTAACTATCCTTAGTATTCACATTGCTGCTGAATTATTTGCCAGTGGAACTACACATTTGAACTTGTATTGTTTCACTGACAGATTATTTCACTAGAACTTTTAACATCAATATTTAGGAATTCATATAAGTAAAGATGTATTATAGACAGAAATGTACATGCTAATTTAGATATCTGTTGTAGCACCACCTGTGATAATAATAATGTATATTTTCACTTTGTTTTGCAGAGTCTGGTGATTTGGACCCTCATCTGGCACGGCTCGCGTCTCTGGGTTTCACCGGCTGCCTGTCAGTAGTTCAGTTCAACTCCATCAATCCTCTGAAAGCTGCTCTGCTCCACCCAGACACCAGCCCCATCATCATCACCGGACCTTTAGTTCGGTCCAACTGTGGCTCTGCAGCCTCAGCAAATCCCTACGCAGCTGAAAACATTCACCATATATCCGGTAAAACATGGAGCTACGGATCCAACTTTGAGATTTCTGTCATCAATGGGAGTTTGATTTGAGTTTACTTGTGCTGCTTTATTCAGTTTGTCTGTTATCAGCTAAACTAAAGAAATAAAGTATTTTATTCAGGGTCAAATACAGAACATCTAGAAGAACAATGAAATTACATTTTTATTCATTACGTTTTCATTTTTTCTTCTTTTTTAAAAATATTTTCTAGGTAGTTGTTTTGTTGATTGGATTTTCATTCTACTCTTTTCACATTCTGCAACATTTTAGTATAGTTTCTAGTGCAAACATTTTATAACAAGTTGTAAGTAACTTTTCACAAAGATAGGTGGCGTGCTGGTACGATTGATACTTTTATTAAACAAGGAGAATAAAAACAATTTTCAGTTTGATGCATTTTAAAGGGGAAAGTGCATCATTGGTTCTCTGTGTTTATCTTCCCAGTAGGTAAAGCCAGTTTGAATCAGTTTAAAGCTAACTAGATGCGTCAGTATTTCTCCTATTTTGCTGAGTGTACATGATTTCTGCTTCTGTCATTTTCCTCCTCGATTCGGTGATGACTTCTGGCTTTTTATTTTGGTCTTTCTAACTTCTCTCTTGCTCTGATTTGTTCCTCCTGATTTTTCCGTCTCTCCTGTAGACCGGTCCGGCTCAGTGGGCTCAGGTCAGCCTTTAGTCAATGCCATCAGGACCGACTCGGCTCTGATTGGAGGTACTAAACCATTTCTCTCACTGCACTGGAATCTGTTTTATCTTTGCTCACTCTATCAGTTTCAAATCAGCCATAGCATCTTTTATAAAACTTGCCTTGAATGTGTTTGTTCAGGCGACATTTAAAACGTTTGGAGCGAGAGATGTGCAAGACATGACTCGATTTAAAACCAATTTAAACTTTGGTTCTCTGCCAGCATTAATTGATTCAAAGTGGAGAGTGTAGGAGGTGGGAACTGTGGAAGTCATTTAAAACTGTCCATTCAATCCTGTTGTACACAAAGGGCAGGAAACCTAATCGAACTACAGAAATCTGCTGAGAACACGACATTATCACAAAACACGGTCATTTTTTAATGCATTATTAAACTGATTTTAAATTCTGCTTCAAGCTGTTAAAGTCTATTTAGATTTCCCTAAAGTGCTCAGGTTTGATCTTAACTGATGGAAAACTTTTTAAAGTGTTTTTCAGATTAGCAATTCAATCAGCTGTGCATTAAAGAAATGTGCTGCGGTTCTGTTATTCCAGAGTTTCTCCATATAAATTAGAATAAAGAACTCAATTAAATAAGTTAATTCTGTATAGATTCAACCCACAGACTCATTATTTCAAGTGTTTCTTTTCCTTTTGATGATTAGAGCTTACAGCTAATAGCAAACAAGTTTCAGTTTCTCAGCAAAATATATTAGACTAACAAGAAATGATTTTAATATATGATGTTATGGCTCATACAGGAAGACAAATAGTTTTTCTGTCCAGGTCACTGCTAAAGACGATAGATTTCAGAGGGCTGTATGTTAATGGAAAGATGAGTGGAAGGAAAAACTGTGCTAGGAAAAATGTGCAACATAGTTAATCAACAACCAAGAAAGATTCTTACTAAATGTTTAGATTTCATTAAAAAAAATTAGATATAATTATAAATTTATTATTAAAAACTGTTTTTATTTTTGCATATTTTTACTCATCTTCCTTCCAGCTTTTTAAAAGAAATCTCTAGCGCCCTGTGGTGGATTCCACTTTGAAAAGATTTATGAACTAGTCGCTGCATGTTATTGTGCAATTTGACATTTTTAAAATAAATTTGCTCAATGGAAACATGGCAATTTTACTTTTGTTGTTTTTCACCAAAATGTTTCGGTGCCAGATTGAGATGTTTTTTTTTTTGTTTTTTACTGTATTGACATTGGTTTATTTGGTAAAACTGCAGTGAAAACTCTTTTTCACACCACGAGTCACATGCTCAGGAATCAGATGTTGACTTAAGCGTAAACTTAACGTAAACCTACTTAAAGTAGGCCAAAATTACTTGGTAAGATTTTGTGTTTTTGCAGTGAAGGAACTGTTGAATCTGAACTGTAAACTTTTCACAATTTTGTCTTTTTTATTTGCTCCCACAATCAGTCAGATTACTATAAAATAACATTGTTTATCAAATTAATGAACATTTTCCTGACATTGTAATTCCAGGTGTCATAGCGGTCGTCATCTTCGTGGTTCTGACCGGTTTGGCCATCGCCGCGCGGTACCTCTACCGGAGGAAGGACACGTATCGAAACCAGGAGGGGAATGCAGTCAAACAGGAAGACAGTCCAGATTTCCCTTTCAACAACCAAACTGACTCCCAGAACCTGTCCTCTGAAAACCCAAAGGAGTATTTTATCTAACAGGAGTTCTTTCCCGATGCGCCGCCGCTTTTTTACAGGGTCGGAGGTGAAGAAGACGACTTGAAGAGCCTCTGGACTCGTCGCTCGACTCGAGAGTCTCCTGGACTCTTGTTACCAAAAGTGGCTCAACTTCAAGGCAAAAGCAAACAGTTTGATGTTGTGTTTCTGTTGCTTTATTGTAAAATTGTGGATATTCTGATACAAACAGGCAACAGTGTTTGACTTCAAGGTGGTAATATGCATTTTTACAGACACTGAAATGTGGGATTTGTGTCTTGGCAACAAGTTTTGGCTGCTTTCACTTTGTTTCTTTTTAAATGTTGAAGTTGTCAATCTTTTGTTGAAGTGCTAGGGAGAAAATGTGAATTTCTGCCCCCTTGTGGCAACATGTAAAGATGATTTCCAGATTAATGTGTTTGGATTCAAAGGGATCTCACATAATATTCACAAATGTTTTACATTTTATCCAATTTTCTGTTGCATACTTTAATCTCCTTAATGCATATTTTTTTTCTTACACCAGCTGCCAAATTTATTTCACATCTTAAGCCAATGGTGTCCAAACTTTTGATCATGGGCCAAGTAAAAAAAATTAGCAGGGGGAAAAAAAACTCAAATTTTTATCTTATTTTATGTTTTTTACTGCTCAACAATAAACTAAGTATACAATCATTTTAATTGAATAAGTAAGTCAGTTTTTTGGGAAATATAAGTTAAAATTTTTTGTAAGTCCAAAATTTAAAAAGTGTTTCACATTTTAAGCATCCATTTTGAAATTTTTTTGGGCCTGGATAAAAAAACCCCATAGATATTAAATCTATTATCTGCTACAAGAACATGATTTTATTTGAACATGTTTTCTATATTAAGCCAAGTTTAATCAATTAATTAAAAGTGAATCTGGGTTATCTAAAGTCTACAAAGAAATAAATTTGGTTTTAGAAACAGAGTCAAAGAGAAATCAAAAAGTGTTTTTATTAAAAGACATACTTTGTGTTACATGTAAGATTTTTCATTGAAACATTCTAATTTGTTAGAAATTAAAGATAAATTAAAGTCTCCATTTGCATCAACCAGGTTTGCTGGCTGGGCCACAGAATCAATGTAAGGGTCACAAATGGCCCCCGAGCCACACTTTGAACACCCCTGACTTAAGCACACATTCTGTAGAATATAAAGGTGCATTTTGTATTGTTTTAAAACCAAAACACAATGTAAAATATTACTATAGACTTTGTGAAGCATTTAGCCTTATCTTAGTTTCCTTTATTTTTTATTTTTGGACAAACTGAGACAAAAATGCTTCTGATCTTTGAGATATTGTCCTTAAGAGACTGTGGAGACAAAAATGTAAAACATGGAGTCTTTCGATGCGTAATTAACATTTGTAAGCACAGATCTGGTTCAGTTGATGCAGCAAGCAGTGGTTAAATTGCTTAGTGAAAACAGAAACATGTTTTGCAAGAGGTTGAATATAGATTGCAGTGTGTCACATGAAGATAAAATAATGCAAAAGTATCAGTAATTTTCACAAAGGCGAAGTGAATTTCTGCATTTGTGTTGGGATCCGTTCTGCATCTTGTTAAAGCCCACGAGGGATGACAGTTTCAGAAGTTTCATTAAAAGTGACCAATTTCGCTATTACATACATTGCGTCTAATGGTCAGTCATGACTAAGTAGGTCATTTCCAGGCTCAGACATTTTAAGATTTAGCTCGAAGCTAATGAGGAAAAGTCTCATCAGCCTCGAGCTAATGATCCTAAAACGCTTTGCTAAAAGTTGGATTGAAACTCCGCGCCTGGAGCGGCAAAACTAATTTGGTGAGTGTGAAGGACGCCTGTTTTTGCACTGCAGAAGGGGAAGAAATCTCCTAATACATTCCAATGTTTGAAAATCTTTTTGTACAACTGAGCAGTTTCTCCTGAGCCTGGATGTCTGAAGCATGAAGTATCTTTCGAAAACTAGCAATGGGCCAAGGGGTATAGTCAAAGGCTTTGATTATTTTCATATTTGCTCTTCATTTCTGGTCAAGGTTGTAGTAAAAAAAGAAAGGAATATTGAAAAGCATAAAAGATAATAGGTGAGAGCTTAGAATGCTTAGGATGATTTTATGTTTAGAAACCGAAAGGTTAATTTATGTAATGTGGAAGAGAAAGAAAACATTTTCTTCAATAGTAGTTTGGAGACATAACAAACCTACACCCTTTGAAGGGACTTAAGAGCTCACATAGTTGAGCCAAGTCATCCTTTAAATCACCACTTTGATAACTTTGTGACAAAGCTGATTTGAAACACTGAAGGTCAGGCAGCATTCAAACCACCCATTCCTGCTCCTGTTCTGACCAGCATTTCCTTTATTGTTATCATTTGACCTCTTTTCATACAAGTTGTCTCTGTGAGACCCGAGAGCACATTTACAACAGAGACTATTTGATAAAACAGACAAAATCACAAACACAGCAACATAACAAGCAATTTAGAAATGTGTGTTATGTTGACGACCAGGTCCATTTCACTGCTGTCGTTTCTCCAACCTACTTCAGAACAAACACTTTTCATAACGTAAGGGACCACACACAATGATACAAACTGTTAGGTATCAGAAGGATGTTTGGTCCTACAGTGTGTGTGTGTGGGTGTGTGTGTGTGTGTGTGTGGGTGTGTGTGTGTGTGTGTGGGTGTGTGTGTGTGTATGTGTTGAGCAACACACCACACAACAGATTTCACTCACCAGCATTCAGACTCCGACGGAAAATCCTATGAGATCAAATGTGAATTCAGAGTAAACAAACATGGCCGACAGGGAAGAAGCAATGGAGATAGTTTGTGGAGTAACAGAGAAAAGACGTCTCAGATGCCCACCAAGCCTTCTGGAGCTCCATGGAAATGGTTTTGTCTGAATTTTGAATTCACCGCTGTCTTTCTCTCACCTCGCTTTCGGATTGGCTGCAGGTCACATTCAACAAGCTGCGTTCTCGTTTGTCCACATGATATCAGAGCCACGTTGTGCTGAGACAATCCAACATGTAGAATATCCTGGACTTTAGATTGGAGCGATTCCAAACACGGCAGGACTGGAAAATTTTTCTGATAAGAAAGTTCTTAAAATTGTCGAAAAGGAAACATTTTGTGAGAACCGGGCATCAGTCGTTATGCAAGTCTCCTTAATGTTAGGATATATTTCAATTAGAGATAGTAAATGAAAAATATTAAATGTTATTTTGCTGTTTTCTCCAGTATTCTTTCCACAAGAGCCTCAATACGTATAAGTAAATTCAGAAATCTGATTAAATGCAGTTGCATTGTAATAAATCAAATTTTTTCTTAAATGAGATTATTTGCAGGATCAATATTTGTGTTTGTGTTTCTATGAATGCTGCTATTTAGCTACCTAAAAAATACGTAATACATTTATTTTGATTATAATCTTTATCGTTATCGCAGTAGTATCACAAAATGTTGCGATAAAATTCTAAGTCCATCTCGCCGACGCCTCCTCTGAATTATGCGGTTGTTCACTTCTCTAAAAACCGCAACTGCTTGCAGGGAACTTTCCTTTCTCGATTTCTTAATGCATTTCAGCTGCGAGGCTTCTGATAGCAGCAGCAGCAGCAGCCCACTCTGAACGCGGCCGCCTCATTTGCTTCACACAGAGACCATTCTTAGACACTAATCTGCTTTGATGTGCAGGTAAATGTGGACAAAGCGCCAAACTGTGAGAGGAGGCGAGTCAGACAGGAACAGAATCAGACGTTTTCCAAGCAGACATCCTTCAAATCAAAATGGATTTTCTCAAGTGCAGCTCATGTGCAAAGATGAGAAGTGTGTCAATTATTGAAGTTTGTAACAAACAGACTAAACTCTGAAGTGCAGATGTGAATTTAATGACAAGTTGTTAAAGTTCGGGTTGGTTCGGTTTCTGTCTTTCAGCTTTGTAGATCAGACTGAGTGAAACTGGACGAACGTTTCTGTCAGTGCAGCTGAGAAACAAATGTTTACACACTGATGACGTGGCTCATAATGAAGTGAACCAAGTTAACTTTTATTTTTGTGCCTCCTGATTGAAAAAAATGGCCTCAAAGTAAACATTTTTTGAGACGCATGTGTGGGTTTGATTTTTCTTACATGAATCTTGTTTGTTAATGTTTCAAAATGAGTTCGTTTCCCACACTAAACTTCTGACTTTAGAGACCAATAAGGCATAACATTATGACCACCTGTTAAAGCGTTCATCCCTTTGGAGGTTTTACCCTTTTAAGAGCTTTTACAAATCAATCGTGATCAACAAAATTTGGCTTTTTTGAAAAAACAAAAAACATCTATTTTTCACATATTGCCTTACAAGTTCTTTATTGAATGGTCAACTACATGTTTCAAGATGGCCGCTCTTTGTGTAAAAAAGGGAAATACATCTCCGGCTCATCCTAGTGCATAGGTGTTGTTTTTTTTGTTTCAAAATTTGCATGTTTACACATAAATTCATGTCATCCAGACAAATTGAAAAGATACCTAATTGATGCCACTACTTTGTTTTCCAGGGAAAACTAATCAAATAAAATTAGCTCTGTTGGACAAAAATGAGAAAATCCTGTTTTCAACTTTATTTTTTTATTCAAAAATGAATTGCATGGGTGGCTTTCTTTTGATATTTTTATTTTTTTCTCAGATTTAGCAAAAGTCATAAAGAACACATGTAAGAATATATATATATATATATATATATATATATATATATATATATATATATATATATATATATATATATGTATATATATATATATATATATATATAATATATATATATATATATATATATATATATATAGTATGTACTCTATGAGTAAAAATTCAAACATTTCCCTTTAATCCAGAACTGCTAGAAGGTAACAAAGTTTTGCTCTTTAAATTTCCACTGAAACATCTCTGCATTTCCTTTGCCTTCACTTTCTGCCCTCCTTCCTGCTGTTACTTAGAGATTCATTACCGTTCCACTTGAACAAGTTGCTTTGCATAACGACATTGATTAGACTCATTGAGGTAAATGTAGAAGTGGCGTCTGCAGAAGAGAGGAGTCAGTTTGACAGAGTCTGGCGCAGATCGAGATCAGGGAGCCGCCGCCACAGAGGAGCTGGAGACAGGCTGATTGTGCTCCTCCCTGCATGGCTGCTTTAATGACAGTCAGCAAACTCATTCAGCATCACAAACAAAAAGACTCTGAACCTGCTGCATGCTGGAGGTTTATGGCCGCTGAGACAGGGGAGGCTTTAATATGAACCGAACAGAACTTCTGATAAAGATGAAATGCGTATGTTATTGAAAATGTATATTATTTATCCTTTAAAATGTCAACTCTGAAACTTGTTTTTAACACTAGCAATGATGCCACAGCTGGAGATGTGGATCAGATTTTGAGTATCTTT